TGTGTAGATTGCTGACAAAAAATGACAATTCAATCCATTTTAATCCCACTTTGTAACACAACAAAATGTGGAAAAGGTCAAGGGGTGTGAATACTTTCTGAAGGCACAATAAATCAGCCATGAATCCCCTTGTGACTGGAACAGAAGCTTGTTGTGTGCAACAGGGAGGGGCAATTGAATGCAAGAGTCACAACATTTTTAGCCTGTTTGTCCATGGGTAACAAGGTTGATATGTTATGCTCGACCTGCTCAGTTTTTCATCACAGAACACTAGAAAATTGCCAAAAATAGTAAAATCAGCTCACTTGCATTTAATTAGATATTCAATGTTTCTTTTGAGGGAAATATTTCAAAAGGAATAGTTTCACCATATTAAAATGAGTGTTCAGTTCACGTAACAGGGTTGACCTTAAAATTAGGGACAGATGTAAATTAATCACTGATCACATTAAATAAATAATCATCTTCAGAAATAACTTTGTCAAAGCAACAAAATAAGTAGGGCTTTACAATGATGGAGAAAACGTGGATTATTTTTTGGGTTAGTGGGTTAAAATCTTCCTAGACGTCACAGAGGGTGCAAGGAGGGACATGTCAAAATGCTGAATTTTGGCACTTTACCAAGTCTTTATTCATATTGAATATCTGATTTATTGAATTCTCCATGTGGTATATATTAAAGGGTACTTGGCTTCATATAACAGGCTTTCAAAATTGGTGCATAGTTTCTACTTAACATATCAAAGGGATGCAAAATGACCTCATTTTGTGGAACGACCCGGCACATGTTAAGTTCTGCCCGTTGGACATTGGTTGCAATGCTCTCGTCAAGTTTGTTTGTTGTCAGATGCGCATCAAAGACATGGAGTCACTACATGACTGATAATGTATAATGTTTGTAGTAATTATTTTAGTCATTTAATTGCATGTAAACGCATGTTAGTGCTTTTGGTATGCTTTTGGTATGTGTCAACTACAATACAAAAGCATTTTGACAAAATATATATATATACATTACCAATTCTGCAGTCTTAATGAGACTGACATAAGCAGCCAGGTCACCCATGATACAAGTCCATCCATGTCTCACTGCAACTCCCCTCCACGTCTCCGACCACTACTTTGTATCCTTTTCTCTCTCGCTCTCCTCCAACACTACTCACTCTGCCCCTACTCAGATGGTAATGTGCCGTCGCAACCTTCACTCTCTCTCTCCCGCTACTATCTCCTCTTCCATCGTATCATCTCTTCCCTCTGCTAAATCCTTCTCCCTCCGATCTCCTGATTCTGCCTCCTCAACCCTCCTCTCCTTCCTTTCTGCATCTTTTGACTCTCTATGTCCCCTATCCTCCCGGCCGGCTCGGTCCTCCCCTCCTGCTCCGTGGCTTGACGACTCATTGCGAGCTCACAGAACAGGGCTCCGGGCAGCCGAGCGGAAATGGAGGAAAACTAGACTCCCTGCGGACCTGTCATCTTTTCACTCCCTCCTCTCTACATTTTCTTCCTCTGTTTCTCCTGCTAAAGCCACTTTCTACCACTCTAAATTTCAAGCCTCTGCCTCTAACCTTAGGAAGCTCTTTACCACCTTCTCCTCCCTGCTGAATCCTCCTCCTCCTCCTCCTCCTCCTCCTCCTCCTCCTCCCCCTCCCTCCTTCCTCTCTGTGGATGACTTTGTCAACCATTTTGAAAAGAAGGTTGACGACATCCGATCCTCATTTATTAAGTCAAATGACACCGCTGGTCCTGCTCACACTGCCCTACCCTATGCTTCGACTTCTTTCTCCCCTCTCTCTCCAGATGAAATCTTGCGACTTGTGATGGCCGGCTGCCCAACAACCTGCCCGCTTGACCCTATCCCCTCCTCTCTTCTCCAGACCATTTCCGGAGACCTTCTCCCTTACCTCACCTCGCTCATCAACTCATCCTTGACCGCTGGCTATGTCCCTTCCGTCTTCAAGAGAGCGAGAGTTGCACCCCTCCTCAAAAAACCTACACTCGATCCCTCCGATGTCAACAACTACAGACCAGTATCCCTTCTTTCTTTTCTCTCCAAAACTCTTGAGCGTGCCGTCTCTAGCCAACTCTCCTGCTATCTCTCTCAGAATGACCTTGATCCAAACCAGTCAGGTTTCAAGACTGGTCATTCAACTGAGACTGCTCTTCTCTGTGTCACGGAGGCTCTCCGCACTGCTAAAGCTAACTCTCTCTCCTCTGCTCTTATCCTTCTAGACCTATCTGCTGCCTTTGATACTGTGAACCATCAGATCCTCCTCTCCACCCTCTCAGAGTTGGGCATCTCTGGCGCTGCTCACTCTTGGATTGCGTCCTACCTGACAGGTCGCTCCTACCAGGTGGCGTGGCGAGAATCTGTCTCCGCATCACGTGCTCTCACCACTGGTGTCCCCCAGGGCTCAGTTCTAGGCCCTCTCCTATTCTCTCTATACACCAAGTCACTTGGCTCTGTCATATCCTCACATGGTCTCTCCTATCATTGCTACGCAGACGACACACAATTCATTTTCTCCTTTCCCCCTTCTGATAACCAGGTGGCGAATCGCATCTCTGCATGTCTAGCGGACATATCAGTGTGGATGTCGGATCACCACCTCAAGCTGAACCTCGGCAAAACTGAGCTGCTCTTCCTCCCGGGGAAGGACTGCCCGCTCCATGATCTCGCCATCACGGTTGACAACTCCATTGTGTCCTCCAACCTGTCGTTCTCTGCTAACATCAAAGCGGTGACCCGATCCTGCAGGTTCATGCACTACAACATTTGCAGAGTACGACCCTACCTTACACAGAAAGCGGCACAGGTCCTAATCCAGGCACTTGTCATCTCCCGCCTGGATTACTGTAACTCGCTGTTGGCTGGGCTCCCTGCCTGTGCCATTAAACCCCTACTACTTATCCAGAACGCTGCAGCCCGTCTGGTGTTCAACCTTCCCAAGTTCTCTCATGTCACCCTGCTCCTCCGCACACTCCACTGGCTTCCAGTTGAAGCTCGCATCTACTACAAAACCGTGGTGCTTGCCTACGGAGCTGTGAGGGGAACGGCACCTCCTTACCTTCAGGCTCTGATCAGAACCTACACCCAAACGAGGGCACTACGTTCATCCACCTCTGGCCTGCTAGCCCCCCTACCTCTATGGAAGCACAGTTCCCGCTCAGCCTAGTCAAAGCTATTCGCTGCTCTGGCACCCCAATGGTGGAACAAGCTCCCCCACGACGCCAGGACAGCGGAGTCACTGACCACCTTCCGGAGACACTTCAAACCCTACCTCTTTAAGGAATACCTGGAATAGTATAACAGTAATCCTTCTACCCCCCACCCCCCTCCCCCCCATAAAAATACATAAAAAAAGGGTGGTTGTCCCACTGGCTATCCTAAGTTGAATGCACCAATTTGTAAGTCGCTCTGGATAAGAGCGTCTGCTAAATTACTTAAATTTAAAAAAAAATTTAATGTCTGAGGATTTTGGGAGATGATGTGGAAACCGGCCACTAGGGGGAAACAGTGAGTGCTGTTACCTTCAAGTAGGTTCAGTTTTGCTAGGGTGATGTGGACGGGGATAACGGAGGCGTGAGCATCTGCCTCTGATTCTAAAGGTTGCAAGTTCAAATCCAGCAATAGAGAGTTGCTTTTTGTTTTAAAAAAAAGTATATTCCAAACCTTAATCCTTACCTCAACCATTCGGAGTTAATGCTTAACCTTAAGATTTCGGAGTTAATACCTAAACTTAACACTAACCTTAAAAATTCAGAGTTAATGTCTAAACTTATCCTTTAACACTTTGAAATTTGCCATTTGCCAAAACTTCTAAATTTGACATTTGAGAAACATGGATGAACATCTGGTTAAGGTAAGGGTTAAGGTTGCATGCTCGAATCCAGCGATAGAAAGGTGTTTCTGAGATTTTTGTTTTAAGTTGTAGTCCTCTGTAGCTCAGCTGGTAGAGCACGGCGCTTGTAACGCCAAGGTAGTGGGTTCGATCCCCGGGACCACCCATACACAAAATGTATGCACGCATGACTGTAAGTCGCTTTGGATAAAAGCATCTGCTAAATGGCATATTATTATATTATTATAAGCCTATCCCAAACCTTAACCCTTACCGTAACCATTTGGAGTTAATGCCTAAACTTAATATTTCTGAGTTAATGCCTAAACTTAACCCTAACCTTAAAAATTCGGAGTTAATGCCTAAACTTATCCTTAAACACTGAAATATGACGTTTGCAACATCGAAATTTGACTTTTGAGAAACATGGATGAACGTCTAATTCTGACGTGAGACTGTGAGAGCTAGTTGGATATAAGTGTATGTGATACCCAAGAGCATACTAAAGTACTAAAGTTTCATTGTTAAGACAGTCACCACTACGTTACAATATGATTTGGCCAATTTTTGTATATTTGCTCTACATTTTAATAAAAAAATATATTTCTTACAAATACATTTAAATGCATGTTGGAATATATTTGACAAAACATTCCAAATACATTTTAAAATATATTGACCAAATGTATTGATTAATACATTTGAAAATATATTCTTTAATGTTTTTCAGAATGTATTTTGAAATACATTAAATACATTTTCCGATGCATTTAACACATATTGTGATATAATTCTGTAATATATGTTGGATAATAGATATTTCACATGTATTCCCAAACATTTATCTATAACTATATTTTTAAATGTATTTTTTCCTGTATGTGTTTAAATAAAGGCATTTTAAACGATTTCTTTGAAGAGTGCCTTGGTCCTTGTTGTTTTACTGACTGGGTTGTATTCATGAGGGCACACTGCAGCAAAACATTTTCACAAAGTAAAACAAAAACTAGTGTTTCGTATTGGCCAAGTTTTGGTTGTCCCTCCTTTTTCAGTCTGTTTTCTTCCATTCGGTGACAAATGAATATGACCTTGATGTTTGACACCCGGACCTAAATTGTCTTTCTGTTTACATCATGATCAGAGTAATGGCGCAGTCTTTACCTGTTCTCCTGTGGACGTGTCTAGGTATTTAGACTGGAGCTGATGACGAAAGGACAGGACTAGCACTCTCATTTGAGGGACAGGGGAGATAGGGAGGACAGAAAAAGTAATTGATAAATATATCTTGATTACACCTCTCGCTGCCAGTATCTTTGTAGCAGGATAAATGTGATTATGTTGGAAGTAGTGTCTCACATTCTTGTCCAGGTTGGTAGTAAGGAATGTAGTAGCAACAGGCTCTGGTGTGGTGTTGTTGGCACTGCCCTCCTCTGTGGTGTCCTCCCTCCAGCGGGCTGACAGCTGGTCCAGCCGGAAGGCAGCAAACAGCTGACTAAATAGCTGAGAGGCGGTCAGCCACACCCAACAGCGGGGGAAGCACAGGTTGGTCCCAACATGACCTGGTGGAGGGAAATATTACACTATTACACCAAGGGGTAAGCCAGCAGTTCAGAGAGTAATCTATTTATTTGATAAATCAATTCAATAGTCGATGAATTGATCTAGATCTATAGTTCTAAATAGCCATCATCATCAACCCAAAGAACAAGAGGTGAGAAACATGCAAAAATAGACATTTCAGGTGAACAATTGTAGGCACATTAGTTTAATCACACTGCTGTACAGAGCAGGCAATAAGCTTAATTTACCACAGTACTGTAGCCCCAGTTATCTCTCTCCAGACAACTGAGATATCTGAGGTGATTTTCACACTGGGCCCCCGTCACAGATATGATATCCAGAGGTAGTAAAGCCTAGTCTCTGAGCTGTTTGTGCTGTCGTGCCAATTCCTATGGTCGCAATGACAAGACAGCACAAACAGATGGCAAGGCAGCACAAACAGATGGCAAGGCAGCACAAACAGATCTGGGACCAGGTTATAGGTATTGTTGTAGTGTCTTACCCAGGATGTTAGTGAGTGTGTCCTGAGGCTTGCTGAGCTCCAGGAGGCTACAGTCCTTGGTGAGTTTGATGACTAGGGTCAGGTAGCTGAACAGCAGTTTGTCTGCTGCCTTCTCATCCTGCTCCTCCTCAATGACACAGAGACAGATATAGAGCGGCTGTTAGCACAGGTTATATGAGATAGTAATGAAAAGATAAATACCTACATCATGCTTTGATAATGCTTTTGGAAGCATACCTTTTTAAATAGTTCTATATTTTAAAAGTTGTATTTGTAAAAGAGTAATGTTTCTCGATAAGGGGCAGCAGGGCATTTAGATGACAGCCAAACTGAACCCCCTCCACCTCCACAAACAGCCCACACACATGGGCCCCGAGATGACGCAGACACACCTGTGGGTAGGGGTCAGAGGTTAGAGCAGGAGGACATGGGGTACGTCTCAGTAATCTTATACCATATTTGATATTATATTACATTATATTTATTCATTCAGCCTTATCGAGGATATAAACACAAACACTTATGTTGTAACTTGAAGTAGTTCTGAAGGAGGTGAAAGTTCTCTCCGCGGGCAGAGGCCAGACTTGGAGAAGTCTTTAAGCAGGACAACACACCCTTTGTACAGTTTTCACATTTTGCTGCCTTAAAATTCAATCAAAACATTTATTAAATTCGATTATTTTTTCCTATTGATCTACACAACCTACTGTACATTTTCAAAGTGAAAATGTTCTTAATTAAAAAACAAAGATGTCTTGATTGCATATGTCTTCACACCCCAGAGTTAATACCTGGTGGAAGCACTTTTGTCAGCCATTACAGCTGTGAATAATTTTAAATAAGATTCTCTTAAGGCAACATACACAGAGTATACCAAACACCTCTATACCTTCCTAATATAGAGTTGCAAACCTTGTCTCTGACGTTGAAACAAATTTAGGTCAGGACTGAGACTGGACCATTCAGGAACACTGAACACCTCTTGGAAAGCCATTCTGGTGTGACTTTTGCAATTTGTGTAATTGTCCTGCTGAAAAAGAAAACTCTGTTCTGGTGTTAGGTATTCAGAAGACAGAGAAAGGGGTTCCTGTAATTTTTTAACCTGCGCTTTGCTACTTTCATATTTATTTTGATCCTGACAAACTCTCAAGTCCCTGCCGGTGACAAGTATACTCATAACATGATGCTGCCACCACAATAAAATAAAGAATGTAATATGCTTATACTTTAAGGCAGCAAAATGTGAAGACTGTGCAAGGGAGGTGTAGACTTTCACTAGGCACTGTAACTAATGTCAGATAAAGATCAAAAAGGTTTCAGGAATTCCATATAGGCCCATCAGTTGAAGGTAGCAGACTGACACCAGCGTATGGCAGTAGTAGAAGCAGAGATGAGGGAGGGAGGGTCATGGGACATGCTGATAATGCCTCTACTAACACAATGTTCCTGCTTACACTGTAACCACAGAGAGGTTCAAATCAGCTCCAAACCAACTTCAACCCTGAAATAGTTACACAACACCCACATAATATTACTACAAACATGTAAGAACAGAGCCACACAAACTAGTATAAGTTAACCACAGCATCAATTTTACAATACAGAGCACAGGTTTTAAACAGTTAAACTAAAATGCAGCTGCACCCCTCTAGAGGAGCCAGGGACACAAACAAAGACAGTTTGAGCAGAACCAACATTGACAGGACAGAGAATGAGGGAGAGAGAGATGGCGAGAGAAAAAGAGAGGGAGAGAGAGATGGAGAGAGAAAAATAGAGTGAGAGAGAGAGGGAGAGAGAAAGAGAGGGGTAGAGAGGGTGAAGTAGAGAGACAGAGAGAGGTGGAAAAAGAGAGGTAGAGAAAGATAGAGAGATGGTGAGGTGGAGAGGCGGACAGAGTATGAGGGAGAAAGCGAGACAGAGAGAGAGAAGGGGGGAGAGAAGGAGAGAGGGAGAAAGAGAGAGAGAGGGAGAAAGAGAGACCAAGAAGGAGAGAGAAAAGGAGAGAGAGAAAGAGAGAGAGAGACGAATAGAGAAAGGTACTGCAGAGGGGAGCGGGAAGAGAGGGGTGGATGAGAGAGATATTTTCCATGAGTGATTCTGCCATGTGGAGTGAATGTTCACATTGCTTTACTCTGCTTTTCTCTCCTCTTATACACAGAGATGCTGCCCTTTGTAATAGAATAGTCTATCCTATTCTCTACTTATCCAGAGTTTATTTAGAGATTCATTCAGCAGTTTCTAGGCTCTCTTTGTGTGTTTAAGGAGCTCAATATGCGTTTGAGTGTGTATATCAAGAGGGTTTTCAGTTCAAAGTGGGGTTCAAAGTGTACATGGCTTGTTGAGTGTGTGTCTGAATGGTGTGTGTATAAAGATTGACTCAGCAAATACACATTACTCATTCATGCCTGCTGCAGATTCCTGAAAGAGTGAAGTTCCACAGAAAGAAACACAGGCAGGTCCAGTCAGCCATATCAATGGCTCTGAATGGTGGGGAGAGAAGAGAGGAGAGGACTGAAAAGGGTTCTCCTCTACCCCTCTCTAGTCCCATCAAACCCCTTACCTCCCCTTCTCTCCCATCTTCAACCTCTTACAGAGCCCCACTCCTTCATGTGGAGTGGCTTGGCAATGGCAGTTCCCCTAGTGGAACACTCAGAGAGGAGAGAGGGAGAAGGGAATGGAGGGATAGGACATGAGAAACAGAGTAAAAAATATAATTCATCACACGGTATTCTTGTTCAAGAAACCCCAAAATGCTGAGGTCAAAGCCTTCCAGCCTTTATCTGAACTGGAGTTGTTGGAGTGACAGAAAGAGTCATATGGCCACAGTGAGCCACAGAGAGAAAGTGTCCTATGAACGAGTTCACTAACTGCTTTTGACCCCCGCAGTTAGCTAGTCTATGCATGTTCAGACATAAAACATGACCTGTCAACATTACATAGATGATGGTCATTAAATACCCCATGATCACATGAATCCACCATGCTGAGTTTAATTTTTCTGGCCTGATTGTGTATGAAGGGTCTGAGCATTCACTCATTATCAAACCACACACGGTCTCTCTCCCTGCACCCCTACAGAGGGCTAATCTGGGGCTGACTCTGGGCCAGAACACACACAGACTCGCACACGCCAAACTCACGCACGCACGCACGCACGCACGCACGCATCCACACACACACACACACACACACACACACACACACACACACACACACACACACACACACACACACACACACACACAGGCACAAATACACAAATGCACACATACTAGGGGTAAGTGTTTAAACAGTTGGGTTGGCTGAGAGAAGGGTGAGGCTTGGAGGACAGAAGCTGGGGTTACTTTGATGCCAAGCAAACATAATGGAGTTCAAGATTTGGCAATACTAACACTTAAACACACATCATACTGGGGACATTGTTGGGTCATATCCCCACCTTCCTAATACACTACATGACCAAAAGTATGTGGACACCTGCTAGTCGAACATCTCATTCCAAAATCATGGGCATTAATATGGAGTTGGTCCCCCCTTTGCTGCTATAACAGCCTCTACTCATTTTTACATTTTAGTCATTTTAGCAGACGCTCTTATCCAGAGCGATTTACAGTTAGTGAGTTCATACATTTTCATACTGAAAATACTTTCATACTCTTCTGGGAAGGCTTTCCACTAGATGTTGGAACATTGCTGCAGCGACTTGCTTCCATTAAGCCACAAGAGCATTAGTGAGGTCGAGCACTGATGTTGGGCGATTAGGCCTGGCTCGCAGTCGGCGTTCAATGGGGTGTTCAATGGGGTTGAGGTTAGGGCTCTGTGCAGGTCATTCAAGTTCTTCCACACCAATCTCGACAAACCATTTCTATATGGACCTCGCTTTGTGCACTGGAGCATTGTCATGCTGAAACAGGAAAGGGCCTTCCCCAAACTGTTGCCACAAAGTTGGAAGCACAGAATCGTCTAGAATGTCATTGTATGCTGTAGCGTTAAAATGTCCCTTCACTGGAACTACGGGGTCTAGCCCGAACCATGAAAAACAGCCCCAGACCATTATTCCTCAACTTTACCGTTGGCACTATGCATTCGGGCAGGTAGCATTTTCCTGGCATCTGCCAAACCCAGATTCGTCCATCGGACTGCCAGATGGTGAAGCGTGATTTATCACTCCAGAGAACGCATTTCTACTGCTCCAGAGTCCAATGGCGGCGAGCTTTACACCACTCCAACGTTGGCATTGCACATGATGATCTTAGGCTGTGTGTGGCTGCTCGGCCATAGAAACACATTTCATGAAGCTCCTGACGAACCGTTCTTGTGTTGACGTTGCGTTCAGGGCGGTTTGGAACTCGTTAGTGAGTGTTGCAACTGAGGACAGACGATTTTTACGCGCTACGCGCTTCAGCACTCGGCGGTCTGTGAGCTTGTGTGGCCTACCACTTGGCGGCTGAGCTGTTGTTGCTCCTAGACGTTTCCACTTCACAATAACAGCCCTTACAGTTGACCGGGGCAGCTCTAGCAGGGCAGAAATTTGATGAACTGACTTGTTGGAAAGGTGGCATCCTATGACGGTGCCATGTTGAAAGTCTATGATTTCTTCAGTAAGGCCATTCTACTGCCAATGTTTGTCTATGGAGATTGCATGGCTGTGTGCTCGATTTTATACACCTGCCAGCAACAGGTGTGGCTGAAATTGCTGAATCCACTAATTTGAAGGGGTGTCCACATACTTTTTTACATATAGTGTATGTGCAGAGACGTCCAAGTTATTAGTATGTTGAGTATTGAGTTTATTTGAATTGTATTCCCATGGTGTTGTGTTTGAATTTCAAGTGATATTGTACATGGCTCTCTATCTCTGGCATTCTGTATTTATCAGTATAACAGGACACTCTAGTGGCAGACGATCACATTACATTAAATAGTTTGGCTAAGAGCTAAGTGCTTTACCTATAGAGGGCAGCAGAGTTTTTTAGAAAGTAGACTCCGCTACCAATGACTCACTGAACAAACTCATTGTGCTGGTGAAGTGATTACAATCTGTCTCTGTCTCTGTCTCTGTCTCTGCCTCTGCCTCTGTCTCTGTCTCTGTCTCTGTCTCTGTCTCTGCCTCTGCCTCTGCCTCTGCCTCTGTCTCTGTCTGTCTCGCACTCTCTTACTCTCTCCCCCCTCCCTCCCTCCCTCCCTCCCTCCCTCTCTCTTGCCATAGGGAATGTTCTGCTCGTCAGGGACTAGCTGATTGATTCTGACATTTCCACAGCCTGATCGTTGATAATTTCCCCCTGTCCTGAATATGAATGTGTGTAAATGTCTCTCTGAGCATTTATATTTGACTGAGTAGGAGTGTGTGTGCATAGTGTGTGCATGTGTCTGACATAAAAAATAACAACACAGAGATGCTTTCATGACCACTCACAGTATGCACGCACACACACACACACACACACACACACACACACACACACACACACACACACACACACACACACACACACACACACACCTCCAATTCAGCAGAAGCAATAGTAGGCTGACTGTCAGCCTGTCAGTGTTAAATCCAAGGGGAAATCAGATACATTTACTCCCTGCATCCCTTCAGAAAGAGAACGGTGGAATGGCTAGGCTACTGTACAATACAGCACAGTACCTGTATATCTGTACAGCTTTTCTGAGTATAAACAGACATATTAATGATCATGATCATTGCAACACCAAGGTTGTGGGTTCGATTCCCACGGGGACCAGTACGAAAAAAACATATGAAAATGTATGCACTCACTACTGTAAGTCGCTCTGGATACGAGTGTCTGCTAAATGGCTAAAATGTTAAATGTACTTAACTGGTAAGGCAGCTGATGTTACTCTATCGACAGAATGATGCCATAAGGAGTTTACCAGATTGCCTTGGTGAGAGGTTCCAAGCCTGTTCTATTGATTCCATTTCCATGGTTCCATCTACACAGCCTGTGGGCTCTATTTTCCGCTGGCGTTAAGACGGCGCTAGTGTGAAACGCAGGTTAGTTTGCAATTTCGTCATGTAAAAACTGGTGCACTGGCATTTTCCAGCCCTAACGCCAGATTCTGCAATTTACCCGTCTTATATCAGCTCGCTTGCGCTCAGATGAGAGGGGTGGAAATATTTTAGGTGTGTCCTTAAAAACATGATCCAAAGTGCTAATTTCAGGCAGCTCTGATAGGGATATTTAAGACCAACCATGGGCAGTTGGTTATGGCATGAATTTTGACAGCGGAAACGCAGCCTATCCAGGCATGACGCACACTGCCCATATGCGCCTTGAACAAGAGTAGCCTGTGCTTTTGGTGCCTGTATACTTCGTAAATAGAAACATAAAAAACTAACGTTTTTTCCCATTTAGTTTTATTTGGTTAAAAACCAAGCATAGCCTCCCCTCCTCTTAATTAAGGCATTTTTTGTCCTTCTCAATGCAATCATGAAGTAGTCAAGACTGTCGATAAAGGGTTTGGCTCCTGAGACAGCTTGGAAATAAATCATAATCAGCAAAGCTTTATTAAAATATCAAGTTTGAGAGAAGTAAAACAGTGAGCTGACATTCACTTTTTATCTATGCATTGTAGGCAGGCCCACATTATTTTAACCATGCAGGTCCTATTTTAGACGTGCGTAAAACCCCCTCCATGATGTAGGCTACGTGTCCCCTCTCCATCATGTATGCTATGTGTCCATGCCCATCATGAAACCTCGGTGAATCCCAGTGAACCTCGTATTTAGAAGTTATTTGTAACCTGTAAAAATGGCTTGTTTTCCGTTTCATTTGTTCAAAACCCAAGCCCTCCCTTAGGCCTACTATAACAAAGGCTGGTTCAACAGCAATGCAGGTCTTTTTTTATCCTGGTGGTTTGCGATATTATTACATTTGAAATGTATTTATTGTTGTTGTTTAAAACAAGTTATTACTTGTGTTTCATAAATTGTATTACAAGCAAACTTATTAGAATGATTCACCTTCCTGGTTTTATGGCGAGAACGTGCGTGGCGCGCTTGCAATGCAACTGCTGGAGATGTGTAAATGCGATCTGATCTGTAAAATGGTTCCGATTATGTTCATAAAACATAGGCCTATTTGGAAGCAGTATAACGTGAGTGGACATTCTCCCTTTCTATTTATATTGGATCTTTGTCCAGCTAGTGTGAAATGTTTGGATGTGCGTAAAACCCTCCATAGTCTGCGTTGTTTTAATATTATATACCACAGGGAGAAATTATTGTGCCTGTAAGTGTGACATAGCCTACTTAAAACAAGTTGTTGTTTCGTTTTGGTTAGAATTTGATTATAATTATTCGTTCTCTTTTTAGGCCTTATCAATAATTAATTTAATATTGCTTACTGACAATGTTTGGCATGGCCATGCTTAGCCATAATGCAATTTACAGTAGGCCTAGCCCCTATATCAGTGTGAATGCTATTGAAGCCATGCAGTTAGAACAATGTGGACTGCAAATGGGTTCAAGTTAACGTATTTAGCAAAGATATGTCTACATTTTGTTGTTTCGTTTCTGTAAGCAATTTAACAAACTATAACGGACTAACATTGGAATTTGAGTTGATTCCAAGGCAATAGCCTACATTAAAACAACCACATATTTCGCCATGGAGCACGTTCTGATTGGCCAGTGAGGGGCCAAGTCTAGAGACACCAACATTATTTTTTTTTTAAACAGCCCTTTCGCGCCAACGCCAGCAAGTGCACGGATAATTGTAAGAGTGAAAATATAAAAAATATTTCTGACACACCCCTGAACCTATAGCAGCTACCGCCTGAGCTTAGATTTACCATTGCGTTAGGTTTGTTCAAATAGAGCCCTGTGTCTTATTCCAGTGCTGGCTGGGTGCTAGGACTGAGCTAGTGCTGTGAGTTGGGTGTTTATAAATAGGCAGAATAGCATAACTTCAAATGTACAACTTCAGCACTGTAATTGGCAGAAATCCAGTTGAGGACTGAAGGGATATGTGCTAAAATAATCAAAGGAAAATCATTGAGTTATGAATGAGTAACAAAGCAATGTGTGTGTGTGTGTGTGTGTTCATGCTTGGTTGTATGTGACTTCCTGCTCCAGTCTCAAATTGACTGGGTGCTGCCTCCAGCTATACATTGTAGAGCAAGACAGGTCAATAGAGACTAGAGTTGGAGCTTCAGTATGGACTGACTTCTCTCTCTCACTCTATCTATGTGTGTGTGTGCATGTACAGTGAGGGAAAAAAGTATTTGATCCCCTGCTGATTTTGTACGTTTGCCCACTGACAAAGACATAATCAGTCTATAATTTTAATGGTAGGTTTATTTGAACAGTGAGAGACAGAATAACAACAACAAAATCCAGAAAAACGCATGTAAAAAATGTTATGAATTGATTTGCATTTTAATGAGGGAAATAAGTATTTGACCCCTCTGCAAAACATTACTTAGTACTTGGTGGCAAAACCCTTGTTGGCAATCACAGAGGTCAGATGTTTCTTGTAGTTGGCCACCAGGTTTGCACACATCTCAGGAGGGATTTTGTCCCACTCCTCTTTGCAGATCTTCTCCAAGTCATTAAGGTTTCAAGGCTGACGTTTGGCAACTCGAACCTTCAGTTCCCTCCACAGATTTTCTATGGGATTAAGGTCTGGAGACTGGCTAGGCCACTCCAGGACCTTAATGTGCTTCTTCATGAGCCACTCCTTTGTTGCCTTGGCCGTGTGTTTTGGGACATTGTCATGCTGGAATACGCATCCACGACCCATTATCAATGCCCTGGCTGAGGGAAGGAGGTTCTCACCCAAGATTTGACGGTACATGGCCCCGTCCATCGTCCCTTTGATGCGGTGAAGTTGTCCAGTCCCCTTAGCAGAAAAACACCCCCAAAGCATAATGTTTCCACCTCCATGTTTGACGGTGGGGATGGTGTTCTTGGGGTCATAGGCAGCATTCCTCCTCCTCCAAACACGGTGAGTTGAGTTAATGCCAAAGAGCTCGATTTTGGTCTCATCTGACCACAACACTTTCACCCAGTTCTCCTCTGAATCATTCAGATGTTCATTGGCAAACTTCAGACCGGCCTGTATATGTGCTTTCTTGAGCAGGGGGACCTTGTGGGCGCTGCAGGATTTCAGTCCTTCACGGCGTAGTGTGTTACCAATTGTTTTCTTGGTGACTATGGTTCCAGCTGCCTTGAGATCATTGACAAGATCCTCCCGTGTAGTTCTGGGCTGATTCATCACTGTTCTCATGATAATTGCAACTCCACGAGGTGAGATCTTGCATGGAGCCCCAGGCCGAGGGAGATTGACAGTTATTTTGTGTTTTTACCATTTGCGAATAATCGCACCAACTGTTGTGACCTTCTCACCAAGCTGCTTGGCGATGGTCTTGTAGCCCATTCCAGCCTTGTGTAGGTCTACAATGTTGTCCCTGACATCCTTGGAGAGCTCTTTGGTCTTGGCCATGGTGGAGAGTTTGGAATCTGATTGATTGATTGCTTCTGTGGACAGGTGTCTTTTATACAGGTAACAAACTGAGATTAGGAGCATTCCCTTTGAGTGTGCTCCTAATCTCAGCTCGTTACCTGTATAAAAGACACCTGGGAGCCAGACATCTTTCTGATTGAGAGGGGGTCAAATACTTATTTCCCTCATTAAAATGCAAATCAATTTATAACATTTTTGACATTCGTTTTTCTGGATTTTTTTGTTGTTATTCTGTCTCTCACTGTTCAAATAAACCTACCATTAAATTATAGACTGATCATGTCTTTGTCAGTGGGCAAACGTACAAAATCAGCATGGGATCAAATACTTTTTTCCCTCACTGTATGTGTGTGTACTGGTAGTATGGACTACTTATATTTACTGTGTGTATAGATTTACTTGTCCTGCCGACTTGTTTGTAATTATTCTCTCAATATACCCTAGCCTTTTCTGTTGTTGTTGTGTTTTTTCTATTTTAATATGTGATTTTGTCTGTATGTACTAAATCTGAATATATTGGGGTATGGACTTTATTCTGTTACTCTACTGCCATTCAGATTACTCCACCCCATATAACTGGTATAGTATTGACTATTTTATTCTGTAGCCTACTGGTGCTATGGACTACTTGGCCATTCAGATTCCTCAGCCACATTTAACTGGTATAGTATGGACTACACTGTAACACTTTTTAAACGCGTCAAGGCATTTAACATTTCAATAAAAACGCATCACAGTCTTTAGATTGGAAACACCAGAGCATTTTATTTCGCTGTAACACTTTTTAAACACATTAACACGTTTATTCAGCTCAAGGCATTTAGGTTTTAAACACTACTGTATGGTGTAAAGCCGTATTTGCATATATCCCAGCATTCCTTTCGAGTGAATGTGAGAGATACCCACCCATGACAGTTTTTTTGTGTGACAGAGACATGGTTGTTGCATTCAAAAACTCCTATTCATTAAGCCTTCAGCAAGTGACTGTCTAAGAGAATGTGTGTCAATTAAAAGTAAACCCTTAATGACCACATATTATACATGTCATAAGGCCTTTAGTTATGGCCTAGTTCCTCTACATTGTGGTCTGAATATCCTGGCTCATGAGCCGCATCAGACCAGCAAGTCACACTACGCTGGTTTGTGAAGTGATTAGTAATTCCTATCGGAATCCAGCCAGAGGGAGGATATCCAACAATTGGAATATTTTAGCACCCAAAACCTGCAGAATGACTGCTATGGTGAAAGACTTAATAAACAAGACCTCCTAAACCATCTAAACTGGAACAACCATCTCAGTAGCCCAACTCCTTACAGATTGGATTCGTTTAGATGATAGGAAAGTAAACACTAATGTTTAAAATCTGAACACTTAGGAGATATATTGTGTTCTCCTGGTTGGAAACTGACATGTTTAATCTTGCGTTCTAAATGAATGTGTTAAAGATGAGAACACTTATTGGCAAATCTAAATGCCTAATGTTTATGTTTTAAACAGTGACATTTAAGTTATAAACATGTCACGTTTCATGGTTTTAGAGTGTACTTTATTCTGTAGCCTAGTGGTGCTATGGACTACTTGGCCATTCAGATTCCTCCACCCCATATACTGTAACATTCTCCACAGATGATTGACTGAGAATGTCTGCTTCAGTAAGACATCTATACCCTCAGACATCTATACCCTCAGAGACATCTACAGTGCCTTGCAAAAGTATTCATCCCCCTTGGCGTTTTTCCTATTTTGTTGCATTACAACCTGTAATTTAAATGGATTTTTATTTGGATTTCATGTAATGGACATACACAAAATAGTCAAAATTGGTGAAGTGAAAATTCAAAAAATAAACAACGGAAAAGTGGTTAATGCATATGTATTCACCCCTTTTGCTATGAAGCCCCTAAATAAGATCTGGTGCAACCAATTACTACCTTCAGAAGTCACATAATTAGTTAAATAAAGTCCACCTAAGTGTCACATGATCTGTCACATGATCTCAGTATATATACACCGGTTCTGAAAGGCCCCAGAGTCTGCAACACCACTAAGCAAGGGGCACCACCAAGCAAGTGGCACCATGAAGACCAAGGAGCTCTCCAAACAGGTTAGGGACAAAGTTGTGGAGAAGTACAGATTGGGTTGGGTTATAAAGAATTATCAGAAACTTTGAACATCCCACGGAGTACCATTAAATAAATTATAAAAAAATTGAAAGAAAATGGCACCACAACAAACCTGCCAAGAGAGGGCCGCCCACCAAAACTCATGGACCAGGCAAGGAGGGCATTAATCAGAGAGGCAACAAAGAGACCAAAGATAACCCCGAAGGAGCTGCAAAGCTCGACAGCGGAGATTGGAGTATCTGTCCATAGGACCATTTTAAGCCGTACACTCCACAGAGCTGGGCTATATGGAAGAGTGGCCAGAAAAAAGCCATTGCTTAAAGAAAAAAATAAGCAAACACGTTTGGTGTTCGCCAAAAGCCATGTGGGAGACTCTCCAAACATATGGAAGAAGGTACTCTGGTCAGATGAGACAAAAATTGAGCTTTTTGGCCATCAAGGAAAACGCTATGTCTGGCGCAAACCCAACACCTCTCATCACCCCTAGAACACCATCCCCACAGTGAAGCATGGTGGTGGCAGCATCATGCTGTGGGGATGTTTTTCATCGGCAGGGACTGGGAAACTGGTCAGAATTGAAGGAATGATGGATGGCGCTAAATACAGGGAAATTCTTGAGGGAAACCTGTTTCAGTCTTCAGCAGGACAATGACCCTAAGCATACTGCTAAAGCAACACTCAAGTGGTTTAAGTAGAAACATTTAAATGTCTTGGAATGGCCTAGTCAAAGCCTAGACCTCAATCCAATTGAGAATCTGTGGTATGATTTAGAGATTGCTGTACACCAGCGGAACCCATCCAACTTGAAGGAGCTGGAGCAGTTTTGCCTTGAAGAATGGGCAAAAATCCCAGTGGATAGATGTGCCGAGCTTATAGAGACATACCCCAAGAGACTTGCAGCTGTAGTTGCTGCAAAAGGTGGCTCTACAAAGTATTGACTTTGGGTGAATAGTTATGCCCGCTCAAGTTTTCTGTTTTCCTGTCCTATTTCTTGTTTGTTTCACAATAGAAAATATTTTGCATATTCAAAGTGGTAGGCATGTTGTGTAAATCAAATGATACAAACCCCCCAAAATGATTATGAAATTTGCCTGAGTTCTGGGACCGGCACTGAAAAGACGCCAATCTCAATCCCTCATACAGAGCTTCTATGTCATCCATCTTTTTAATTGCGATGGGATCTCAGCGTTAAAGGCATTGTCTTATATCTCTACCATATAAAGTAGAATGATAAAAACTATTGGATATGGAGAAGGAAACAAATAAAGGAAACTACCTGGGGGCACTGCCCTGATGCTATCTGTTATCGTTGGAAAAATAGCCTTTTCTAAATTCAAATGAAAATAATGTATTTATAGTGCATTTGGAAGATATTCAGACCCCTTGACTTATTCCACATTTTGTTACGTTACAGCCTTATTCTAAAATTGATTAAATAAACATTTTCCCTCATCGATCTACACACAATACCCCATAATGACAAAGTGAAACAGGTTTATAGACATTTTTGCAAATGTGTATATATATATATATATATATACAAAAATAAAAATAAATATTTACATAAGTATTCAGACCCTTTGCTATGAGACTTGAAATTTAGCTCAGGTGCATCCTGTTTCCATTGATCATCCTTGAGATGTTTCTACAACTTGATTGGAGTCCACCTGTGGTAAATTCAATTGATTGGACATGATTTGGAAAGGCACACACCTGTCTATATAAGGTCCCACAGTTGACAGTGCATGTCAGAGCAAAATACAAGCCATGAGGTCGAAGAAATTGTCCGTAGAGCTCAGAGACAGGATTGTGTCGAGGCACAGATCTGGGGAAGGGTACCACAAAATGTCTGTAGCATTGAAGGTCCCCAACAACACAGTGGCCTCCATTTTTAAATGGAAGAAGTTTGGAACCACCAAGACTCTTCCTAGAGCTGGCTGCCCGGCCAAACTGAGCAATCGGGGGAGAAGGGCCTTGATCAGGGAGGTGACCAAGAACCCGATGGTCACTCTGTCAGAGCTCCAGAGTTCATCTGTGGAGATAGGAGAAACTTCCATAAGGACAACCATCTCTGCAGCACTCCACCAATCAGGCCTTTATGGTAGAGTGGCCAGTCTGAAGCCACTCCTCAGTAAAAGGCACATGACAGCCCACTTGGAGTTTGCCAAAAGGCACCTAAAGGACTCTCAGACTATGAGAAATGCCAAGCGTCACGTTTGGAGGAAACCTGGCACTATCACAACGGTGAAGCATGGTGGTGGTAGCAACATGCTGTGGGGATGTTTTTCAGCGGCAGGGACTGGGAGACTAGTTAGGATCGAGAGAAAGATGAATGGAACAAAGTACAGAGAGATCCTTGATGAAAACCTGCTCCAGAGCGCTCAGGACCTCAGACTGGAGCGAAGGTTCACCTTCCAACAGGACAAAGACCCTAAGCACACAGCCAAGACAACGCAGGAGTGGCTTCAGAACAAGTCTCTGAATGTCCTTGAGTGGCCCAGACAGAGCACGACTTGAATCCGATTGAACATCTCTAGAGAGACCTGAAAATAGCTGTGCAGTGACGCTCCCCATCCAACCTGATAGGGCTTGAGAGGATCTGCAGTGAAGAATGGGAGAAACTCCCGAAATACAGGTGTGCCAAGCTTGTAGCGTCATACCCAAGAAGACTCAAGGCTGTAATCGCTGCCAAAGGTGCTTCAACAAAGTACTGAGTAAAGGGTCTGAATACTTATGAAATTTGATATTTCAGTTTTTTCTTAAATATAAATTTGCAAAAATGACTAAAAACCTGTTTTTGCTTTGTCATTATGGGGTATTGTGTGTAGATTGATGAGGGGAAAAAAACTATTGAATCAATTTTAGAATAAGGCTGTAACGTAACAAAATGTGGAAAAAGTCAAGGGGTCTGAATACTTTCCAAATGCACTGTATATTTTGGCAAACAGAGCACATTGCAAAAATAAAATAGATAAAAGTGTGTCTGTAGCTAGGTTTCCATCCAACTGGCGACAGATTTTTATGTAAATATTCTGATATCTGAATAAAAACAATATGTGCAATATGTGTTTCCATCAAAGGCTGTGCGTGAGTACGTAGTTCACATACACATTTTTGCAGTTAAACGTTCATGTACCGAATAAAAAGTACAAGTTAAATGGGTTTCTATTGCATTTTACACTCTACTGATGGTTTTCTCATAAAAAATGTTGCATTATGTAGCGAATGTGCCCACTCTGGTCTTGGCACGTGCGCGCTATCCAACAGCTCGCAGATACAGTGCGGGAAGGCTACACCAACATGATGAGATTATTATGGGCAAAAGAGCGAGATTATTTTAATTTGTTAAACAGCAGCCAAGCGTCGATAATCATGTCACTAGAATAAAACCCTCAATATTTATTGGAATGGAGCATGAAGAGAAGAAAATGGCGCTGGGATCGATCACTAACCTCAATTTGGATGAAGAATTCTACATCAATGACTCGGCCGCGCAAGACATACCGCTCACTCAGGACCAGGCCTTAATCCCAACACTTGGAAGAGGAAAAGACGACGATATAGAGGCCAACGTGGGGGCACCCTGATGACACTACGGAGGCGAGTGAATAAACCGCCTCTACCCTATGTTCTATTGGCGAATATACAATCACTGAAGAACAAACTATACTAAGGAAGTCTCAAGGTTCTGCTCGCTTGAGTTAGAATACCTCATTATAAACTGTGGACCATACTATTTACCAAGAGAGTTTTCATCTATATTTTTCATAGCTGTCTATTTACCACCACAAACCAATGCTGGCACTAAGACCGCACTCAATGAGCTGTATAGGGCCATAAGCCAACAAGAAAATGCTCATCCAGAGGCAGCGCTCCTAGTGGCCAATGATTTTTATTAGCACAGACTGGAATATGTTCCGGGATTCATCCGATGTCATTGAGGACTTTACCACATCAGTCACCGGCTTCATTAATACATGCATTGACAACATCGTCCCTACAGTGACCATACGTACATATCTCAACAAGAAGCAATGGATTACGCTACGCCCTCTGACAAACCTTCAAACAGGCAAAATGTCAATACAAGAGGTGATGCAGCCAGCCCACAGATCCTCAAAGTTCTACAGCTATTCTACAGCTGCACCATAAACAACATATTGGCTGGCTGCATCACCTCTTGGTATGGTAATTGATTGGCATCTGACCGCAAGGCGCTACAGAGGGTAGTGCGTACGGCCCAGCACATCACTGGGGCCGAGCTCCCTGCCATCCAGGACCTCTATACAAGGGGGTTCAGAGGAAGGCCACAGAAATTGTCAAAGACTCCAGCCACCCAAGCCACAGACTGTTCTCTCTGCTACTGCACCGCAAGCGGTACCAATGCACCAAGTCTGGAACCAACAGGACCCTAAACCCTGAGCTTCTACCCCCAAGCAATAAGACTTCTAAACAAGACTGCTAAATAGCTAATCAAAATAGCTAATAACTACCTGCACTGACCCTTTTACGCACTAACTCTCTTGCACTGACTCTATGCACACACACTGGACTCTACCCACACACTCACACATATTTACACTGACACCCCAACACACACAAACACACACACACACACACACACACATAACATGCACACACATGCATCCTGATGCCACACACACACACACACACACACACACACACACACACACACACACACACACACACACACACACACACACACACACTACATAACTGCTAGTCACTTTACCCCTACCTACTGTATATACACAGTACATAGCTAACTCAATTACCTTGTACCCCTGCACATGAACATGTACTGGTACTCCCTGTATATAGCGATGTTATTTTCTATTCCATATATATGTTATTTTTACTCTTTATTCACTGTGTCAATATTGACATTTGTTATAAAACATTTATCTTATCTTTAACTCTGCATTGTTTGAAAAGGACACATAAGTAAGCATTTCACTGTCAGTCTACACCTGTTGTCTACGAAGCATGTGATAAATAAAATTTAATTTAATTTATTTGATTTGATCAAGCTCATCACCGTGCACTTTTGCCACCCTCTGAAGTTCATCATAACTTATTTCATCTGTAGCCTAATAAACTGTATGCTTTGCCGAGTCGTAGTGGGAGGACCACACATCATAATGTATCATCGCATGACTCCAAGTTTACTTTGATATAATGGTTATTATATCAATGTTTGCGCATAAAGGCGTTTCCCTGCCATTTTTCTAATAATACATTTTACTGACACAAAAAGAAACATGCTCTCACAGTCTCACGTCAGAATTAGACGTTCATCCATGTTTCTCAAACGTCAAATTTCGAAGTTGTTCCAAACGTCAAATTTCAAAGTGTTTAAAGTTATGTTTTTTTGCATTAACTGGGTTAAGTTTAGGCATTAACTTTGAAATCTTAAGGTTAGGCATTAACCCCAAATAGTTAAGGTAAGGGTTAAGGTTTGGGATAGGTTTAAAATAAAAAAAATAAAAATAACTTTCTACGAGAGGCAGATGCTTATGCCCATCCACTATCCCTGTCCACAACGCCCTAGCAAAACCGAAACCTACTTGAAGGTAACAGCGCTCACTGTTGCCCCTAGTGGCCGGTTTCCACGTCATCTCCCGGCGTCCTCAGACATGGCTGGACGTTTAATACTGACTTGTTTTACGGGTGACCTGGCTGACAAAAAGATCCCACCTTGTCTAGCGTATTTTGTTTTGTTGATATTTGGGAAGTTTATAGACAAATTTGCTGTTTCCATCAGGCCTGTCGTGAGATTTTTTATGTGACGTACTGGAAACCTGATTGCAATGTGCCTGTGTGTGTGTCTGTGTGTGTGTGTTTGTGTGTGTGTGTGTGTGCATGTGTGCATGTGTGTGTGTGTGCGTTTGTGTGGAGCACAAACTACAAAGGATTATGTTGAAATTCACACATTTTGAGTGTGTGTGTGTGTACGTTCATGTGTTTGTGTGTGTGTGTATGTTCATGTGTTTGTGTGTGTGTGTGTGTGTGCTTGCATGCATGCGTGTATCTTCCAGCTCACCCCTTAAACCATCACATTGTAACAGATGACATCCTTTCAGTGATGGAAATGTCACAGTGCTCTTAGCAAAACAAACAAAATGACTGAATAGATGAATGATATAAAATCGGTAGTTTGTAAAGAGAGCGCTAACAGTGGAATGACCTTTCCTAGGTGCATACGCTGTCCGCTCTGTGCCTTATTGAGACAACACAAAGAGACACCAAAGAGTTTGAGTAAAAATCACAACATAAAACGCCAACCTCTTCACAGCAGAGGCTCTTCATAGAAACACGGTGGCCCTGTGATGGTTTCTGTGTCAACCAGACACCTCCAATAGAGATGTTTCATAACAAACTATTCAATAGCACAGCAAGGAGGTGCACACAAAAAAGAGATGAACTGTTATTAAATCAATTAAAATATATACTTTTTCTCTGAAACCAGGGGGAAATAATACTTTTAAAAAAATCTAATGTAGTGATTCTTTGTCTCTGTGATTAATTAATTGCCTGTGACTGATGTCTGACTATATAGGGAAGAGCAAAGCCACCAGTTCCCTACAGACAGCTAGACAGCCCAGACAGACACTGGTTCTCCTAAGCCCCTAGAAGAAAACCCAGAGAACTGGGCTGCTTTAGAGGACAATAAAGAAAAAGGAAAAAGAACAGAGAGAGAGAGGGCAAGAGATTGAAAAAGCTAGTTAGAGAGAGATGGAGGATAGATCTGTCAGGAGGGAGAGCGAGAGAGAGAGAGAGAGAGAGGAGAGAGACAGAGAGAGAGAGAGAAGAGAGCTAGACGAGAAGAGATCAGAGAGAGATGATCGACCGCTCCCTCTCAAATATCTAGCCTATAGCCTCTCGCGCTCTCTCTCGCGCCGCGAGCTCTATCTCCAGCTCGCTATCTTACTCTCTTCTCTATCGCTCCATCGACTCGCTCGTTGCTCGCGCGAGGAGTCTGACGAGAGAGTCTTTAAGTCTCTCCCAGCATAGTCTGGGTTCAGAGGTAGGTAATCCAGTCTTCATACAGCATGGTCTCTGAAGGTGATCTGGAATCTGAGAGGATTTTCACTTTTCATTTGAAATAGGGAGTTAAAGGTTTCGACTGGGAGGGAAATACACATTTATTGATAAGTCACGTATCTCTGTGTGTGAGCCACAGTCACGACTGACTGTTGTGTGAGGTTGATAATGTTGTTTTGTAGGTTTGTGTATATGTGCCTGTAATGTTAGATTAAGATAGTTAAGTTAAGCTTTTCCATAATAAAAATGATGTATAACATGCTATCTCAGAAAGAGAGAGGGAGAAAGAGAGAGAAAGAGAATGAGGAAGGGGGAAGAGGTCAGAAGAGAGAGTGATGGATGACGAAGATGGAGTGAGGGAGATGTATAGCTAAAGAGAGTAAGGACGCGGAAAGAGGAGAGTGAGAGTGATGGGTAAAGAACAGAGAGAGACCTGACTGTTGTGTGTCCATTCAAATTGAAAATGTCTTGCTGTGCTGCAGTTAAGTAATTGCTCTTCATGGAATGAATACAGCAATCACAAGAATCTAAGCAATGTCGCTCCTTTAATGCTCCACATTTCTCACAAAGTTAATCATCTCCTTCCTCGTTGAAACATTGTCTGAATCCCAGGGCTCCGGTCAAAGGTAGTGCACTATATAGAGAATAGGTTGCCATTTGGGACATACGCACTATATAGAGAATAGGTTGCCATTTGGGACATACGCACTATATAGAGAATAGGTTGCCATTTGGGACATACACACTATATAGAGAATAGGTTGCCATTCGGGACATACACTTAATCTCCCAATAAGCGATTGCTTTCTCCTATCTTATCCCCATTACAGAAACTTCTGTGAGCCATTCAGTTAATGCCACTTCCCACTGCGCAGGTACACAGGAAACCAGTCCAATAAACCTACACATATTTTCCCACATACAGTCATCCTATTTATAGCGTTTTATACATTGGAATTATTTGTAATAGGCGAGACGAGGAAAGCTTACCTGAAAGTGATTCATAGTACCCCAGAGATGGGCTGCTTCCCAAATGGCACCTTAGGAATCCATATATAGTGCACTACTTTTGACCAGAGCTCAGGCTGCCATTTGGGACGCAGACATGATCTCCTCCCCCTTTAGATGACATTTGTATTATAGAACATTAACAAAACATTTTGAAAACATTTCCATTTAACCGCAAGGTAATTACTGTGATATAATTGATCTAATATGGTTCTTTCTGAGATGGATGGCTGTGATTGGCTAACAGCTCTTTGATTTCCTTATTCCTACATCCTGCTGTGCGTCTCCATGGAGACCAGTCAGGAAACAGGTCAGAAAATGTCAGTTGCTTAATTAAAACCCTCTTTAAAATTACAATTGGGAAGGGAAAGAAACCCCCCCACACACACACACACTACTACATCAGTTTTCTTCACTCAACTCTCTCTTTCTCTTTCTCTCTCTGTCTCTCACCTTCTCTTTCTTGTCATTCTTCTCTCTCTCTCCTCCCCTATTCTCTGATGTTAGGTATTATTCATAATGTCCCATCTCCCCTCCTCCATATTGTCATGTTTCATCAGTGTGTGTGAAAAGAGAGACAGAAGGAAGGAGGGACAGAGAGAGAAAGGGAGAGAGAGACAGACAGAGAGAGAGAGAGAGAGAGATAGAGAGACGAGAGAGCGATCAGAGAGTAGAGAGATAGAGAGAGAGAGAGAGAGAGAGAGAGAGAGAGAGAGAGAGAGAGAGATATGGGGAGACAGAATGAGGGTATGAGGGAGAAAGAGAGTCCCTGGCTCTGAGGACATCAGATCATTCTTTATCTCTGTGTCTGGTTCTCGCTCTCTCTCTCTCAATTCAATTCAAAGGGCTTTATTGGCATGGGAAATATATGTTTACATTGCCAAAGCAAGTGAAATAGATAATAAACAAAAGTAAAATAAACAATAAAGAATGAACAGTAAACATTACACTCACAAAAGTTCCAAAGGAATAGAGACATATCAATGTCATATTATGGCCATGTACAGTTTTAACGATGTGCAAATAGTTAAAGTACAAAACGGAAAATAAATAAACATAAATATGGGTTGTTTGTTCTTCACTGGTTGCCGTTTTCTTGTGGCAACAGGTCACAAATATTGCTGCTGTGATGGCACATTGTGGTATTTCACCCAATAGATATGGGAGTTGATCAAAATTGGATTTGTTTTGAAATTATTTGTGGGTCTGTGTAATCTGAGGGACATATGTGTCTCTAATATGATCATACATTTGGCAGGAGGTTAGGAAGTGCAGCTCAGTTTCCACCTCATTTTGTGGACAGTGTGCACATAGCCTGTCTTCTCTTGAGAACCAGGTCTGCCGATGGCGGCCTCTCTTGATGGCAAGGCAATGCTCACTGAGTCTGTACATGGTCAAAGTTTTCCTTAATTTTAGGTCAGTGACAGTGGTCAGGTATTCTGCCACTGTGTACTCTCTGCAATAGCATTCCAGTTTGCTCAGTTTTGTTGTTAATTCTTTCCAATGTGTCAAGTAATTATATTTTAGTTTTCTCATGATTTGGTTGGGTCTAATTGTGTTGCTGTCCTGTGGGGTCTGTTTATGTTTGTGAGCAGAGCCCCAGGACCAGCTTGCTTAGGTTAATCTCTCTGTAGGTGATTACTTGTTATGGAAGGTTTGGGAATCGCTTCCTTTTAGGTGGTTGTAGATTTTAACGGCTCTTTTCTGGATTTTGATAATTAGCGGGTATCGTCCAAATTCTGCTCTGCATGCATTATTTGGTGTTTTACATTGTACACGGAGGATGGTTTTGCAGAATTCTGCATGCAGAGTCTCAATTTGGTGTTTGCCCCATTTTGTGAATTCTTGGTTGGTGAGCGGACCCCAGACCTCATAACCATAAATTGCAATGGATTCTATAACTGATTCAAGTATTTAATCCCTAATTGGGATGTAAAATTGTATGTTCCTTTTGAAGGCATAGAAGACCCTTCTTGCCTTGTCTCTCAGATCGTTCACAGCTTTGTGGAAGTTACCTGTGGTGCTGATGTTTAGGCCAAGGTAAGTATCGTTTTTTGTGTGCTCTAGGGTAACGGTGTCTAGATGGAATTTGTATTTGTGGTCCTGGCAACTGGACCTTTTATGGAAGACCATTATTTTTGTCTTACTGAGATTAACTGTCAGGGCCCAGGTCTGACAGAATTTGTGCAGAATATCTAAGTGCTGCTGTAGGCCCTCCTTGGTTGGGGACAGAAGCACTAGATCATCAGCAAACAGTAGACATTTGACTTCAGATTCTAGTAGTCTCTCTCTCTCTCTCTCTCATTCACTCACTCTCTCTATTGTGAGAGAAACATTTACATGTAACATGTTTACCTGCTTTGTTTAATATTAATAGTTAACAATTATATACTGTTCTACTAATGCTGTATTTTTGTAAAGGGATGGTTTCTACTCCAGCTCACTGCAGCTAGTCTAGGCGTGTGGTCAAGGACATGGGTTTTACTCGAGATAGGGGTATCTGGAGCTGACAATTGATTTATGAATGGTTTGGTGATAAAACCTACAAATGCTTTCCATAGAATGAGTTGGTGTTTGTGTAATGTAAGGTACCAGGGAGAGATGGCTCGGGTAGGGGCCAAACCCTGGTTTCCATACAATGAGAACAGTCTTCGCAGCAAATGCTATCTGGCTGGGGGATACTCCTTTCTCATATATCAAGTCTCACCTTTTGACCCATTCCACACATCTGCTGTTTGTCATGTAGACTGAGAGGGTGTATCGTGCTATAAAATATATTTGTATTATTTGTATGTGAGAGCTCTCGGCCCAACACTCAAGAGTGTTGGGTCGACCAGCCTCAATATTGCAAAGCACTTACTCCATTCACGGGTGTGGGGGGTGTGACCTGCTGCCCTATTAATATGTTTTGAATAAAGTAATATCCTGATTGGTGATTGACCCTGTCTCTCCTCATTATTGATTAGAAGTTCCTGTCACGATCGTTTACGGACGAGACGGACCAAGGCGCAGCGTGATATGCATTCATGTTTATTGACGACTAAACACACGACAAAACAACAAACAAAACGTGAAGTCCAAGGTAGCACACAAACATACCTCACACGGAACAAGATCCCACAACTAACAGGTGTCAAAAGGCTGCCTAAGTATGGTCCCCAATCAGAGACAACGAGCAACAGCTGCCACAGGCCAACATAGATCTATACATTCTAGAATCTACACATAGAAATAAACACAACACGAAATACACACACCTTGACTCAACAAATACGAGTCTCTAGAGTCAGGGCGTGACAGTACCCCCCCCCACCCCCCCCAAAGGTGCGGACTCCAACCGTGCCACATAAACATAACAGGGTAGGGGCCGGGTGGGCATTCCGCCTCGGAGGCGGATCCGGCTCCGGGCGTGACCACCACTTACTCTCCACCTCCCTGTTGCGCCCCTGGTCTGGTCTGGACCTCGGCGCGCTGCTTCCCCTCTCCTTCCTCCCACGACGTACCAAGCCCTGTCTGGACCCTGGTGTGGGAGACCCCGAACCTGGAGAGGGGCTGACGTCTGGGTCTGGACTGGAACCGCTGACTGGAGCTGGACCCGACGACGGTGGATCGAACTGCTCTGGCTCCGGAGTGGAACCGCTGACCGGAGCTGGATCAGGCACCGGTGGAGCGGACTGCTCTGGCTCCGGAGTGGAGTGGCTGACCAGAGCTGGACTGGGCCCCGGTGGAGCGGATTGCTCTGGCTCCGGAGTGGATCCGCTGACCGGAGTTGGACCGGACCCCGGTGGAGCGGATTGCTCTGGCTCCGGAGTGGAGCAGCTGACCAGAGTTGGACCGGACCCCGGTGGAGCGGATTGCTCTGGCTCCGGAGTGGAGCAGCTGACCGGTGGAACAGGCACGGGCCGTGCCGGACTGGACACACGCACCACTGGCTTGGTGCGGGGAGCAGGAACGGGCCGGACCGGGCTGACGACGCGCACCACTGGCTTGGTGCGGGGAGCAGGTACGGGGCCGTACCGGACTGGCGATGCGCACCACTGGCTTGGTGCGAGGGACAGGAACAGGCCGGACCGGGCTGGCGACGCGCACCACTGGCTTAGTGCGAGGGGCAGGAACAGGCCGGGCCGGGTTGGCGACGTGCACCACTGCCTTGGTGCGAGGGGGAGGAACAGGCCGGGCCGGGCTGGCGACGCGCACCACAGGCTTGGTGCGAGGGGCAGGAACAGGACGGGCCGGGCTGGCGACGCGCACCACAGGCTTGGTGTGACGCGCACCACAGGCTTGGTGCGAGCGACAGGAACAGGCCGGACCGGGCTGGCGACGCGCACCACTGGCTTGGTGCGAGGGAGCAGAAACGGGCCAGACCGTACTGGGAACACACACCACTGGCTTAGTGCGGGGAGCAAAAACGGGTCGGGCCGTACTGGGAACACGCACCACTGGCCTAGTGCGGGGAGCAGGAACGGGTCAGGCCGTACTGGGAACACGCACCACTGGCTTAGTGCGGGGAGCAGGAACGGGCCGGACCGTACTGGGAACACACACCACTGGCCTAGTGCGGGGAGCAGGAACGGGCCGGACCGTGCTGGCAACGCGCACCACTGGCTTGGTGCGAGGGACAGGAACAGGCCGGGCCGGGCTGGCGACGCGCACCACTGGCTTGGTGCGGGGAGCAGAAACGGGCCAGACCGTACTGGGAACACACACCACTGGCTTAGTGCGGGGAGCAAAAACGGGTCGGGCCGTACTGGGAACACGCACCACTGGCCTAGCGCAGGGAGCAGGAATGGGTCAGGCCGTACTGGGAACACGCACCACTGGCTTAGTGCGGGGAGCAGGAACGGGCCGGACCGTACTGGGAACACACACCACTGGCCTAGTGCGGGGAGCAGGAACGGGCCGGACCGTACTGGGAACACACACCACTGGCCTTGTGCGGGAAGCAGGAATGGGTCGGGCCGTACTGGGAACACGCACCACTGGCTTAGTGCGGGGATCAGGAACGGGCCGGACCGGACTGGCGACACGCACCACTTGCTTGGTGCGAGGAGCGGGACTGGGTTCCCTTATAAACCCCCGCCCCTTCTGCTGCCTAACCAGCTCCTCTCGCCGTGCCTCTACACTCTCCTTCTCCCTTATAGCCTCCTGTAGCTCCTCCCTCTGACCAAATAACTCCTGCTCCCTCTGGACCAATAGCCCTCGTAACCTGGTGGCCTCCTCTCCTAACCTGCAGATTCGCCCTGTCGCTGCCTCCTGCTAACTCGTCGTCCACACCGTGTGCCCCCCCCAAAAAGAATTATTGGGTTTGCCTCTCGGGTCTCCGTCGTCGGCACTGTTGGCGCCATTTCTCCTCTCCTACCTGGGCATCCTCATTCATCGCCCTCCGGTAACGGACGGCCTCCTCCTCCGTGATTCTCCCCCAACCGAGGAGGACATCTACTGACGTAACCTCCTGTTTAATTCCCGGTGTTTGCTCCTGAACACGCTGCTTGGTCCTATTTTGGTGGGATCCTCTGTCACGATCGTTTACGGACGAGACGGACCAAGGCGCAGCGTGATATGCATTCATGTTTATTGACGACTAAACACACGACAAAACAACAAACGAAACGTGAAGTCCAAGGTAGCACACAAACATACCTCACACGGAACAAGATCCCACAACTAACAGGTGTCAAAAGGCTGCCTAAGTATGGTCCCCAATCAGAGACAACGAGCAACAGCTGCCTCTGATTGGGAACCACACAGGCCAACATAGATCTATACATTCTAGAATCTACACATAGAAATAAACACAACACGAAATACACACACCTTGACTCAACAAATACGAGTCTCTAGAGTCAGGGCGTGACAGTTCCATGACAATATCGATCCCGCTTAGTGTCCTGAATTTATTCATTTGGGAACCTACCAAATTATGTGTTTGGCTCAATTCCAAAAACACACCCACAATCTGATCCAGAGAAAACTGACTGATAATCTACTGCATTTGTTTTATCAACCAGAACATTAGTTGGCGAGACTTGAATTTTGCAAAACAATTCCCTGAATTTCTTCACAAACCTAAAACACCATCAACTCAGACAGACAGAGAGACACACACCTCAGTGGGAGACAAACAGATCAATATTACTGCTGAGTTCCCTCCATTAAAACATCAACAAAGAAAACGGAGTCTAAAGCGGTCAATCGGACATCCAAAGTCTGTCCTTGAGCTAGCTCACACTATTCTCTCTCATGTGTCCAGACTTTGTGTGTATGCATGTGTGTAAAGGACATCACGCTGCTTGCTTAGCGAGTACCACTTCCTCTCGATTCGGCCCATACCTGGCGCAACCTCGAGATCTCTGCCTTGCTAGAACACGTGACTTCCTTCCTTAAGTGTCTTACCAGTCTGCGCCACGCGAAAACCTAGCTATTTGCTGGTGCAAGTGGGGACATTTCAGGCTGAGGAGTAAGTTTCACACATCCCCATGTGCTACACATGCAGTGTGTGTGTGTGTGTGTGTGTGTGTGTGTGTGTGTGTGTGTGTGTGTGTGTGTGTGTGTGTGTGTCTAACTGTGAGTCGCGTGCGGCACAGTGTGGTGTGATGGCCAGGCCCTTTGTTCCTTTTGCGTTCTTTGTATCCCAGCTGTCAGACACACCCACACACACACCTTTGAGTTCTCCATTCTCCGCAAACACTCCAGCCCATCTCCGGCTGACAGAACAAAACTCAGGAAAGCCCTCGGAATTCTGCCCTTCACACTCCACTGGTTTCCAACTGACATTTGGTGGTGAAGAAGCAATTCCTCAGAATTGATTTGAGAGAAAATCGATGGAGTCTATAGAGCCTGCGGCAGGTATACAGGTAGGCTACACCTCCCTACAACAAAAGGCCAGGGTTGCATCCCAAATGGCACCCGATTCCCTACACTCTTAGAAAAAAGGGTTCAAAAAGGGTTCTACAGCTGTCCCATAGGAGAACCCTTTTTGCTTCCAGGTAGAAGTATTTTGGGTTCCATGTCGTACCGTCTGTGGAAAGGGTTCTACATGGAACTCAAAAGGGTTTTACCTGGAACCAAAAGGGTTATATCTGGAACCAAAAGGGGTTCGTCAAAGCGTTCTCCTTTGGGGACAGCTGAAGAACACTTTTTTTCTAAGAGTGTAGTGCACTACTTTTGACCAGGGCCCATAGGGATCTGGTCAAAATAAGCGTACTACATAGGGAAAGTGATGCCATTAGGGACACATGCCAAAATAGGGAAAGGCCTGATTACCTCTGTTTGTGATGACTGAACATCACACTCTGACTGCATCCCAAATGGCATCCTATTCCCTATGGGCTCTGGTAAAACGTAGTGCACTATATAGGGAATAGGGTGCCACTTGGGACACATCCTCAGTTTGCAGGACGCATCAACACAACACAGCCCACAGAGAGTAGATAGTCTGTGTGTTTATTTCTGTGGGGGCTCTGTCTGTCTGCCCTGAAGGAATAGTCAAAAGATGCTAGACAGATGCAGGGATGACACACACACGTGCACACACACGCACATGCACACACACACACACACACACACACACGCACGCACACCACGAAGGCACTTCACACAGCCAAACATACTGGTTTGTCCAGACACACAAGGGCAGTTTATCCAGTCAGTCAGATATATTGTGAATGCACTTAAAAAATCTAGAAATACACAAACATGATGCACCATGAATCTACTTCACAAAGCCAGACACACACAACATATGAGATCTCTTCAGACACCTATACATACTTACACACCATGAGACCACTTCAGATGGAGCATATCATATTGATGTACAGTACCAGTCAAAAGTTTGGACACCCTACTCATTCCAGGGTTTTTCTTTATTTTTACTATTTTCAAGAATAATAGTGAAGACATCAAAACTATGAAATAACACATATGGAATCATGTGTAACCAAAAAAGTGTTAAACAAATTAAATTGTATTTTATGTTTGAGATTCTTCAAACAGCCACCCTTTACCTTGATGACAGCTTTGCACACTCTTGGCATTGTCTCAACCAGCTTCACCTGGAATGCTTTTCCAACAGTCTTGAAGGAGTTCCCACATATTCTGAGCATTGTTGGCTGCTTTTTCTTCACTCTGCCGTCCGACTCATCCCAAACCATCTCAATTGGATTGAGGTCAGGGGATTCTGGAGGCCAGGTCATCTGATGCAGCACGCTATCACTCTCCTTCTTGGTAAAATAGCCCGTACACAGCCTGGAGGTGTGTTCGGTCATTGTCCTGTTGAAAAACAAATGATAGTCCCACTAAGCCCAAACCAGATTGGATGGCGGATTGCTGCAGATTGCTGTGGTAGCCATGCTGGTTAAGTGTGCCTTGAATTCTAAATAAATCACAGACAGTATCATCAGCAAAGCGCCCTCACACCATAACACCTCCTCCTCCATGCTTTACGGTGGGAAATACACATGCGGAGATCATCCGTTCAACCACACCGCGTCTCACAAAGATACGGCGGTTGGAACCAAAACTCTCCAATTGGACTCCAGGCCAAAGGACACATTTCCACCGGTCTAATGTCCATTGCTCGTGTTTCTTGGCCCAAGCAAGTCTCTTCTTCTTGTTGGTGTCCTTTAGTAGTGGTTTCTTTGTAGCAATTCGACCATGAAGGCCTGATTCACACAGTCTCCTCTGAACAGTTGATGTTGAGATGTGTCTATTACTTGAACTCTGTGAAGCATTGATTTGGGCTGCAATTTCTGAGGCTGGTAACTCTAACAAACTTATCCTCTGCAGCAGAGGGAACTCTGGCTCTTCCATTCCTGTGGCGGTCCTCTTGAGAGCAGTTTCATCATAGCGCTTGATGGTTTTTGTGACTGCACTTGAAGAAACTTTAAAAGTTCTTGAAATGTTCCGTATTGACTGATCTTCATGTCTTAAAGTAATGATGGACTGTTGTTTCTATTTGCTTATTTGAGCTTTTCTTGCCATAATATGGACTTGGTCTTTTACCAAATAGGGCTATCTTTACCAAATAGGGCCACCTTGTCACAACACAACTGATTGGCTCAAAATAAAATCCACAAATTAACTTTTAAGAAGGCACACATGTTATTTGAAATGCATTCCAGGTGACTACCTCATGAAGCTGGTTGAGAGAATGCCAAGAGTGTGCAAAGCTGTCATCAAGGTAAAGGGTGGTTATTTGAAGAATCTCAAACATAAAATACAATTTGATTTGTTTAACACTTTTTTGGTTACTACATGATTCCATTTGTGTTATTTCATAGTTTTGATGTCATCACTATTATTCTACAATGTAAAAATAGTAAAAATAAAGAAAAACCCTTGAATGAGTAGGTGTGTCCAAACTTTTGACTGGTAGTGTAAATGATGTCAGTAAGCTCATCATGCATCCCTCTGGTGCAACAAGTTGACTGGATCTCATATTTTTTCAATACTAAATAGGACAATCCCATGACCAGTATGTTATGTCCTAAATCACATTTGTAAATGTAATATATATTATTGTCACGACTTCCGCCGAGGCTGCCTCCCCTCCTTGTTCGGGCAGGTTTTGGCGTTCGGCGTCACCGGCTTACTAGCTACTGCCGATCCATTTATCATCACTCCATTTTTCTTGTCTTCAATCACACACACCTGGTCCTTATTCCCTCATTAGTCATTGTATAAGTGTCCCCTCTGCTTCCTTGTCTGTGTGGGTGATTGTTTATTGTGGAGGTCAGTGAAGCTCGTGTATTTTTTATCGACGGGAGTATTTCCCATGTGCCTTGTATTTTCCAGGCACCTGTTTTTGTGCCCTGGAGTGTGTTTGACGCATTTCTGCGTAAACCTGTATTTTGCGGATTAAAGACTGTTATTCTGTGATTTACCCTCCTGCGCCTGACTCCTTCAATACCACCTCATCACAGAATCACCCACCTTTCATGGAGTCAGCGGCATGCCTGGAGTCGTGGAACGGGCCAGGAGCATTCAACTATGCTAGCCAGCTTGGGTGAAGCGATGGATCGGGTTCTTCAGGTCGTCCAACGCCTGGAGAGGAGAGAGCCCGATCCGTCGAGACCAGCTGTCCAACCGGATCCCTCCACCTACTCCCCAGCACCCAGAGGGATCCAGATATCCCGACCACGGGAGTTCGACGGGAGAGCGGCGCTGTGCCAAGGATTCCTTCTCCAACTGGAGCTCTACTTCTCCAGCATCCGGCCGATCCCATCGGAGCGAAAAAAGGTGTCCGCCCTCGTCTCCTGCCTCTCGGGGAAAGCCCTGGAGTGGGCCTACGCGGTGTCGAACGAAGGAGGAGCCGCATTGGAGAACTACGGGGAATTCGCTCGCCTCTTCGGGGCGGTCTTCGATCACCCGCCCGAGGGTCGAGAGGCGGGTTAGCGGCTGGTCCACCTAAGGCAGGGGACGAGGACTGCGCAGCACTTCACATTGGAGTTTCAAACTCTGGCAGCTGGGTCCGGGTGGAACGAGCGGGCCCTGTTCAACCATTTCCGGTGCCATCTGCGAGAGGATGTCCGACGGGAGCTAGCCTGCCGTGACACCATGTTGTCCTTCTCGCAACTGGTGGACATGGCCATTCGTTTGGACAACCTGCTGGCAACAAGAGGACGTCCTGGAGGAGGTCTGCCCGTTTCCATCCCGGCTGACTCGGATCCAGAAACGATGGAGATGGGTGGAACCGTTAGCTGAGAGAGCGGAGGACGACAGCGAAAGGGCCACACTGGTGGCGCGAAGGGACATTTCACCACAAGTTTTCGTCAACGCTCTTCTGGGGTTGGAGGCGGCAGGCAGGGTACTCTCGCATCACCCCAGGTATCGAACACCCACACTCGTTCAGAGCCCTCTGCTGCGCACTGTAAAATACACATCTCCTTTCCTGAGCACATGGTAGTTCCCCAGTGTAAGGCGCTAGTTGACTCAGGCGCAGCTGGGAACTTTATGGACAGGGCATTCGCACACCGTATAGGCATTCCAATGATTCCCCTATCCATTCCACGCCCCATCAGAGCACTTGATAGTCGACCATTAGGGTCCAGGTTGGTTAAGGAAGTTACTGCACCAGTCACCATGATTACCCAGGAGACTCATTGTGAGCAGGTTACTTTTTCCATTATTGAGTCTCCTGCTTTCCCTGTGGTATTAGGTATCCCTTGGCTAGTACTCCACAACCCCACCTTCTCATGGCTGCAGAGGGTTCTCACAGGGTGGTCACGAGAGTGTCAGGGTAGGTGTCTAGGTGTTTCCGTTGGTGCAACCACGGTGGAAAGTCCAGACGGTACCTCCACTGTGCGCATTCTCCCTGAATACCTCGATCTGGCGCAAGCGTTCTCTAAAACGCAGGCGACTAAATTACCACCGCATCGGGCGGGGGATTGCGCAATAAACCTCTGGGTAGACGCTGTACCTCCCAGGAGTCATATATACCCCCTGTCACAGGCTGAAACGGTGGCCATGGAAACATATGTCACCGAGTCCCTGCGCCAGGGGTATATACGTCCCTCCACTTCACCCGCCTCCTCGAGTTTCTTCTTTGTGAAGAAGAAGGACGGAGGTCTGCGCCTGTGCATTGATTATCGACCACTGAACAGGGAGACGATCAGATTTAGTTATCCTCTCGCCCTCATTCCTTCAGTGATTGAATCAATGCATGGGGCGCGCTTCTTCACCAAATTAGATCTCAGGAGTGCGTACAACCTGGTGCGTATCCGAGAGGGAGATGAGTGGAAGACAGCATTCAGCACAACCACGGGGCATTATGAATACCTGGTGATGCCCTATGGTTTGATGAATGCTCCCTCCGTTTTCCAGTCCTTTGTGAATGAGGTGTTTCGGGATATGCTTTGGTCGCGGTGTAGTGGTCTACATCGATGACATCCTGGTGTATTCCGCTACGCGCGCCGAGCATGTGTCCCTGGTTCGCAAGGTGCTGGCCCGACTGTTGGAAAATTACCTTTATGCTAAGGCAGAGAAGTGTATGTTTTTCCAGCAGTCCGTCTCCTTCCTTGGATACCGCATTTCCACCTCAGGTGTGGAGATGGAGGGAGATCGCATTTCAGCTGTGTGTAATTGGCCGACTCCAACCACGGTTAAGGAGGTGCAGCGCTTCCTTGGCTTTGCCAACTACTATTGGAGGTTTATCCAGGGCTTTGGCAAGGTCGCAGCTCCCATTACCTCCCTGTTGAAGGGTGGGCCGTCCCGGCTCCGCTGGTCTGCTGAGGCTGACCTGGCGTTCAGCAAACTGCGGGGTCTGTTCACCTCAGCCCCAGTACTGGCCCACCCCGATTCATCACTACCGTTTGAGGTGGAGGTGGATGTGTCCGAAGTTGGGATAGGAGCTGTCCTGTCTCAACACTCGGGTACGCCACTCAAGGTCCGCCCCTGTACATTCTTCTTGAAAAAGCTCAGCCCGGTGGAGCAGAACTAAGGCGTTGGTGATCGGGAGCTGTTGGCTGTTGTCCGAGCCTTGACCGTGTGGAGGCATTGGCTCGAGGGGGCAAAACACCCTTTCCTCGTCTGGACGGACCACCATAACCTGGAGTACATCCGGGCAGCGAGGAGGCTGAATCCTCGCCAGGCCAGGTGGGCCCTATTCTTCACCCGGTTTGACTTCACTCTATTATACATCCTGGGTACGAAGAACGTGAAGGCAGACGCACTGTCCCGGCTGTATGACACAGAGGAGAGGCCCAGCGACAACACCCCCATACTGCCGGCCTCCTGCATTGTGGCGCCGGTAGTATGGGCGATGGACACGGATATAGAGCAGGCATTACACACGGATCCCTCTCCACCTCAGTGTCCAGATGGGCTACAGTATGTGCCTGCTCTTATCCGTGATCGTCTGATCTACTGGGCACACACGTCACCCTCCTCTGGTCACCCAGATATCGGCCGTACAGTGCGCTGCCTGACCGGAAAATACTGGTGAACTACCTTGGCTAAGGACGTGAGGGTGTATGTCTCCTCCTGCTCAGTGTGTGCCCAGAGTAAGGCACCTAGGCACCTCCCAGCTGGTAAGTTACAACCTTTACCAGTTCCACAACGACCATGGTCTCACCTAAGTGTTGATTTTTTAATTGATCTCTCCCAAGGTAACACAACCATCCTGGTCGTTGTGGACAGCTTTTCTAAAGCCTGCCGCCTCCTTCCTCTGCCCGGTCTCCCCAAGGCTCTGCAAACTGCGGAGGCCCTGTTTATACACGTCTTCCGGCACTACGGAGTACCAGAGGAAATCGTTTCTGACCGAGGTCCCCAGTTCACGTCCAAGGTCTGGAAGGCGTTCATGGAACGTTTGGGGGTCTCGGTCAGCCTGACCTCTGGGTTCCACGCCGAGAGTAATGGGCAGGTGGAATGGGTCAATCAGGACGTGGGTAGGTTCCTGCGGTCCTACTGCCAGGACAGGCCGGGGGAGTAGAATGTGTTCTTGCCATGGGCAGAATATGCCCAGAACTCTCTCCGCCACTCCTCCACTAACCTAATGACTTTCCAGTGTGTTCTAGGTTACCAACCGGTTCTGGCACCGTGGCACCAGAGCCAGACCGAGGCTCCTGCGGTGGATGACTGGTTTCGGCGCACGGAGGAGACGTGGGATGTGTCCACGTTCACCTCCAACGCGCCGTGCGTCATCAGAAGGCCAACGCTGACGCCACCGCAGTGAGGCCCCCGTCTTTGTACCGGGGGATCGGGTCTGGCTCTCGAGGATAGGTTATTACTTCCCCCTGATAACCGTATTAACCCCTCGTTTCTTGTGTCTCTCCTCAGGCCGGTGGTAGCTGGTCCGATCCAGGAGTCTGAGGTGCAGGAGGTCCCTCCACCTCCTCTGGACATCGAGGGGGCCCTGGCGTACTCTGTCCGTTCCATTCTGGATTCGATGCGTCAGATGGGGGGCCTTCAGTACCTCGTGGAGTGGGAGGGGTACGGTCTGGCGGAACAGTGCTGGGTCCCGGTGAGGGATATCCTCGATCCCTCCATGTTACGGGATTTCCACCATCGCCATCCGACTCGCCCTTCTCCGCGTCCTCCCGGCCCGGGGGGGGGTATACCGCCAAGGCTGCCTCCCCTCCTTGTTCGGGCATGTTTCGGCGTTCAGTGTCACCAGCTTACTAGCTACTGACGATCCATTTGTCTTGTCTTCAATCACACACACCTGGTGCTTATTACCTCATTAGTCATTGTATAAGTGTTCCCTCTGCTTCCTTGTCTGTGTGGGTGATTGTTTATTGTGGAGGTTAGTGAAGCTCGGTGGAGCTCGTGTATTTTGTATCGATGGGAATATTTCCTGTGTGCCTTGTATTTTCCAGTGCGCCTGTTTTTGTGCCCTGGAGTGGGTTTGACGTATTTCTGCGTAAACCTGTATTTTGCGGATTAAAGCCTGTTATTCTGTGATATACCCTCCTGCGCCTGACTCCTTCAACACAATTATATAATTATGCATCTCATATTCATGCCGCACCCAGGAACATTTAGATAAAGATGGTATATTTACAGGTTAAAGTACAGTTGAAGTCGGAAGTTTACATACACCTTAGCCAAATACATTTAAACTCAGTTTTTCACAATTCCTGACATTTAATCCTAGTAAAAATTCCCGGTCTTAGGTCAGTTAGGATCACCACTTTATTTTAAGAATGTGAAATGTAAGAATAATAGTAGAGTGATTTATTTCAGCTTTTATTTCTTTCAACACGTCCCCAGTGGGTCAGAAATTTACATACACTCAATTAGTATTTGGTAGCATTGCCTTTAAATTGTTTAACTTGGATCAAACGTTTCGGGTAGCCTTCCACAAGCCTCCCACAATAAGTTGGGTGAATTTTGGCCCATTCCTCCTGACAGAGCTGGTGTAACTGAGTCAGGTTTGTAGGCCTCCTTGCTCGCACATGCTTTTTCAGTTCTGCCCACAAATGTTCTATAGGATTGAGGTCAGGGCTTTGTGATGGCCACTCCAATACCTTGACTTTGTTGTCCTTAAGCCATTTTGCCACAACTTTGGAAGTATGCTTGGGGTCATTGTCCATTTGGAAGACCCACTTGCGACCAAGCTTTAACTTCCTTACTGATGTCTTGAGATGTTGCTTCAATATATCCACATAATTTTCCTTCCTCATGATGCCATCTATTTTGTGAAGTGCACCAGTCCCTCCTGCAGCAAAGCACCCCCACAGATTGATGCTGCCACCCTGCGGTTGGGATGGTGTTCTTCGGCTTGCAAGTAACCCCCTTTTTCCTCCAAACATAACGATGGTCATATGGCCAAACAGTCAATTTTTGTTTCATCAGACCAGAGGACATTTTTCCAAAAAGTACGATCTTTGTCCCCATGTGCAGTTGCAAACCGTAGTCTGGCTTTTTTATGGCGGTTTTGGAGCAGTGGCTTCTTCCTTGCTGAGCGGCCTTTCAGGTTATGTCGATATAGGACTCGTTTTTACTCTGGATATAGATACTTTTGTGCCTGTTTCCTCCAGCATCTTCACAAGGTCCTTTGCTGTTGTTCTGGGATTGATTTGCACTTTTTGCACCAAAGTACGTTAATCTCTAGGAGACAGAACGCGTCTCCTTCCTGAGCGGTATGATGGCTGCGTGATCCCATGGTGTTTATACTTGCGTACTATTGTTTGTACAGATGAACGTGGTACCTTCAGGCGTTTGGAAATTGCTCCCAAGGATGAACCAAACTTGTGGAGGTCTACAAAATGTTTTCTGAGGTCTTGGCTGATTTCTTTTGATTTTCCCATGATGTCAAGCAAAGAGGCACTGAGTTTGAAGGTAGGCCTTGAAATACATCCACAGGTAGACCTCCAATTGACTCAAACGATGTCAATTAGCCTATCAGAAGCTTCTAAAGCCATGACATATTCTGGAATTTTCCAAGCTGTTTAAAGACACAGTCAACTTAGTGTATGTAAACTTCTGACCCACTGGAATTGTGATACAGTGTATTAAAAGTGAAATAATCTGTCTAAACAATTGTTGGAAATATTACTTGTGTCATGCACAAAGTAGATGTCCTAACCGACTTGCCAAAACTATAGTTTGTTAACAATAAATGTGTGGAGTGGTTGAAAATCAAGTTTTAATGACTCCAACCTAAGTGTATGTAAACTTCCGACTTCAACTGTATAATCATTGACTTCAGCTGCTGTTCTAATGACTTGGTCTAATATAGGGATCATCAACTAGATTCAGCAGTGGGCCGATTTCTTCTTGAGCGGATGGTCAGGGGGCCAGAATGTAAGGGTTGGTGTGAGGTGTAGTTTGAGGATGTAAAAGACAAACCTGAAAAGAAAGGTAACACAAAACCCTCTCCTGTCATTACATGTTGGCATCAGGTTTTAAAAAAGGGATAGCTCTGGTTATTTGCTGTCATTCAAACCTGTTCTTCGCAGATGGTGATATTCTTTTAATAATATAATAATAATATAATATGCCATTTAGCAGACGCTTTTATCCAAAGCGACTTACAGTCATGCGTGCATACATTTTTTTTGTGTATGGGTGGTCCCGGGGATCGAACCCACTACCTTGGCGTTACAAGCGCCGTGCTCTACCAGCTGAGCTACAGAGGACCACATTTATATTTTAAACATATAAATGCACAAAATTGCTCAGTAAGTTCAACATAAATTGAAAATGCGTGCTGCAATGTTACACCTGTGTATTGAATATCCATTGCTGTGGTGTTTCTCCCGAAAGCTGCCAGTTAATAAGGGAGCACTTGTGATCAGGGCTGGGGTCTATTCCATTTCAATTAAGTCCATTTCAGTAACTGAAATTCTATTTCAAATTTTCCTCACAGCTTTTTCATGAGGAAAATTGGAATTAGAATGTCAGTTTACTTCCTGAATTGACTTAAATGAAATGGCATTGACTCTAACCCTGCCCAGTTAACCGCTTGTAAGTTGCACCAATCGACAGAGTAGGAGAAAGGATGATTGTCCACAGGATGTGCAGTACATGTGTATATTTCTGTACTGTTAGAAGGAAAGGTGATAATGGCTAGTTGCTGTTTATTATCACGGTCTGCATGATGGGCCCGTGTAGCGCAGTTGGTAGAGCATGGCGCTTGCAACGGCAGGGTTGTGGGTTCGATTCCCACGGGGGGCCAGTATGGGGGGAAAAAAAGAACAAAAAAGTATGCACTCACTAACTGTAAGTCGCTCTGGATAAGAGCATCTGCTAAATGACTAAAATGTAAATGTAAAGGTGTGACCCAGGTGCGGTGCAGGATAGACAGTAGGCAGTATGCAGAGATGGTGAAACAAGGATCTTTACTGGTGGTCCCGAAGCCAGGATACAAAACAACTGACTTAACACGATAAAAGAAAGATGGAGGAACTAAGTCTCCAAAAACAGTCTGACAGCAAAAATACGAAATAGTAACTGCGACTGAAATAATAAAGAAACAGGGAGAACACTTCTCAAATACCTGTACGTACTTCTTCGATCAGACACTGATTAGTACTGCAGAGCATAGCTAGCAGAGAAAACTGAGCAAGGGAACACAGGGAAGTGACAGCATAAATACACAGGTGAACAGGTAGACACAGGTGACACCAATAGGATGATGATTAGTCAGACTGTGAGTATGGAGGTGCCTAAGGATGTTGGAGGATGACACCAAGTGGGTTGCTCTGGAATTGCGACCCCCTCCTGTAACAGTGCCCCCCCCCCCCCCCCCCCCCCCCCCCCCCCGCCCCTCGACGGAATGTTGTTATCAGCTCTGGGTCCAGAATGTCCCTCCTGGGCACCCAGGACCGCTCCTCCGGCTCATAACCCTCCCAGTCCACCAGAAATTGGAGACCCCACCCGCCGGCAGTCCAGGATCCAGTCCACAGTAAAAGCCGGCTGCCCTCCGACGAGGCACAGCGGGGGAACAGGACGAGGAGGGGGAGCCAGGGGACAGGTGGCGACGGGCTTGAGGAGGGACACATGGAATGTGGGATGCACCCACATGGTGGGGGGAAGTTGCAGGCAGTAGGCCACTGGGTTGACTCGCCGGACCACTCTGAATGGCCCGACGAACCGGGGGGACAGCTTCCTAGACTACACGCGGAGGGGAAGATCCCGCATGGAGAGCCACAACCTCTGTCCCGGGTGAAAAACCGGGTCCGGGCGATGCCTGCGGTTGGCCTAAAGTTGAGACCTGACCGAGGCCCGCTTAAGCACTGCCCGTACCTGCCTCCAGGTGCGGCGACAACGACTGATGTGGGCCTGGACCGACGGGACCGCCGCCTCCTCCTCTTGCTCGGGGGGGTTGGTACCCATATTGGCACTGGAAGGGGGACAGGCCGGTGGACGAGCAGAGAAGGGTGTTGTGGGCGTACTCCGCCCGCGCCAGTCGCTGACTCCACGTACAGTAGCTGGTCTGCTGGAGGTATAGCACCTCAGCACCCCCTCCAGATCCTGGTTTACGCGCTCTGTCTGCCCGTTCAACTGGGCATGGAAGCCGGAAGACAAGCTGACGGAGGCGCCGAGGCAGGTGGCGAACGCCTTCCAGAACCTGGAGGCAAACTGAGGGCCCCGATCCGACACCACATCTTGGGGAAGGCCGTGGACCCGGAAAACATGCTGCACCACCAACTTAGCCGTCTCCCGGGCCGACGGGAGTTTGAGAAGGGGAATGAAGTGTTATTCAATATGCTATAGAAAAGGTACCAACTCGATAGCTCTAGTGGAGACACTTCAGTCCCATGACACTGGGAAGAGAATAGGCAGGGAAGAAAGGACATGGAGAGAGGGAGAGAGAGCGGAGTAAAGTTTGTGGTGTTAGTATCTCTCTCTCTCTCTCTCTCTCTCTCTGATTTTGCTGTGATCTGATAGGGGTGTGATCTGAGCGGTTTCCTTCCTCTCCGGCAACTGAGTTAGGAAAGATGTCTGTATCTTTGTAGTGACTGGGTGTATTGATATACCATCCAAAGTGTAATTAATAACTTCACCGTGCTCAAAGGGATATTCAATGTTTGTTTTTTTACCCATCTACCAATAGGTGCCCTTCTTTACGAGGCATTGAAAAATTTCCCTAGCCTTTGTGGTTGAATCTGTTTTTGAATTCACTGCTCGACTGAGGGACCTTACAGATAATTGTATGTGTGGGGTACAGAGATGAGGTAGTCATTCAAAAATCATGTTAAACACTATTATTGCACACATAATTCCACTTTTACATGATGGGGTATTGTGACACAAAATCTCAATTAAAAACATTTTATATTCAGGCTGTAACACAACAAAATGTGGAAAAATGTAAGAGGTGTGAATACTTTCTGAAGGCACTACATTGAGCTCCATAATTCACTGGACAGTGACCATTCTTTTGTTATTTTGGTTCTGTACTCTAGCACTTTGAGTTTGAAAGGATACAATGACAATGAGGGTGAAGTGCAGACTGTCAGCTTTAATTTGAGGGTATTTTCATACATATCGGATGAACCGTTTACGAATTATAGAAGCTTTTGTACATAGACCCCCCCATTTTCGGGCATCAAAAAACATTGGACAGTTTAACATTATGTAGAATAAAGTAATCATTGTTAATATTTGGTCGCATATCCTTTGCATGCAATGACTGCTTGAAGTCTGCGATGCATCGCCATCACCAGACGCTGGGTATCTTCCCTGGTGATGCTCTGCCAGGCCTGTACTGCAGCCATCTTCAGTTCCTGCTTGTTTCGGGGACTTATTGCCTTAAGTCTCCTCTTCAGCATGTAAAATGCATGTTCAATTGGATTCAGATCTGGTGATTGACTCGGCCAGTCAAGGATTTTCCACTTTTTGGCCATCAAAAACCCCTTTGTTGCTCTAGCAGTATGTTTAGGGTCATTGTCTTGTTGCATGATTAAGTGTCGTCCAATGAGTTTGGAGGCATTTGGTTTTATCTGAGCAGATAAAATATTTCTGTAGACTTCAGAATTCATTGTTCTACTTCTGTCTGCAGTCACATCATCGATGAAGACAAGTGAGCCTGTTCCACTGGCAGCCATACAGGCCCAAGCCATAACACCCCCTCCACCATGTTTCATGGATGAGGTGGTATGCTTTGGATCATGTGCATTTCTTTTTTTTCTCCACACTTTTGTCTTTCCATCACTCTGGTACATGTTAATCTTTGTCTCATCTGTCCACAATACTTTTTTCCAGAACTCTTGGGGCTCTTTTAGGTGCTTTTTAGCAAATTGTAATCTCGCCTTTCTGTTCTTCAGGCTTATCAGTGGTTTGCATCTTGTAGTGTACCCTCTGTAGTCCTGCTGGTGTAGTCTTCTGCGTATGGTAGACTTTGACACATCTACACCTGCATCCAGGAGAGTGTTTTTGATCTGTTGGGCTGTTATCAGGGGTTTTTTCTTCACCATAGAGAGTATTCTCCGGTCATCCACTACAGTGGTCTTCCTCTGTCTACTGGGTCTTTTGACATAATTGAGTTCACCGGTTGTTTTTTTCTTGTTAATGATGAACAAAACTGTTGACTTGGGCATGGCCAGGGTTTTTGCAATGTTCCTGAATTATTGATTTTCATTTCTGAGCCTTATGACGGCCAACTTCATTTGCATCGACACTGCTGTCTTCCTCATGTTGTCACACCCCAATAACAACCTCCAAAGGCAATAGCAAAGTCTAGAATCATTACTATTCATCAACAGCTCTCCTGCATTCACTAACGACACAAATGAATACACCTGCCTAACGACACACATCTGTGAAGCCAATTTAACAAAAACTTGTAGTACCTTAAAATGGGGGGACCATGTACAAAAGGTGCTGTCATTTCTAAACGGTTCATCCGATATGTATGAAAATACCCTCAAATTAAAGCTGACAGTCTGCACTTCACGCTCATTGTCATTGTATCCTTTCAAACTCAAAGTGCTAGAGTACAGAACCAAAATAACAAAACAATGGTCACTGTCCAATGAATTATGGAGCTCACTGTATATGCCTACAGACAGAGAAAATAGGAAAAATAAGACAGTACAATCACTCTTTCTTTTACTGTCATTATTCCCATGGTGATAGAGTAGATGGGTAGCGGCAGCAGCTCCACCTAGGTACCGAGCCGCCACCTTTAACCATAATCCCACGGGAGCTGCATGCATCCGGAGATGGCGAGGGAACCTATGGTGTGTAAGTCCACACGGGGCTAACCAAATCCTGCAAACAAACTTGTACAAAGGTACACGAACGAACGCAGACACGCACACATGCATTCACACACACAAGCATGCACACACCCGACACCCACCCAACACCCACACACACACCCTTGTCTGTTTAACTTAATCACCTATCAGAGCATCCTCCCTCCCTGTCTGGCCCAGAGGGGTACTAACCTGTGTAATTGCATTGTAACCTAATTAATTTCCCCAGTGGAATTAGGGACTGAGGTGTGTTCTACAAATGGCTGCACAACCTAAATATTATTACTCCTAACTGAGCCACTCAATACCAAGCTATAAAGGACAGGGGGGGGGGGGGGGGGATTATGTGTAAATGACTGTGAGGCTAGAATGACTGTGTCGACCTGGAAGTTCAGAAATCACTGGTCATACCTTGTGGGGATGGCTGTTATACAGTAGACTACAATCACTACCCATAGGTGCCAGAGGGGGACCTGCTGCATGAATGAATGAGTGTGCATTCTCTAATCCAGTGCTCTGCAACCCTGTTCCTTGAGAGCTACCATCCTGTAGGTTTTCGCTCCAACCCTTATCAGGCACACCTGATTCTAATAATTAGCTGGTTAATAAACTGAATTAGCTTAGTTACAACTGGGGTTGGATTGAAAACCTACAGGAGGTTAGCTCTCCAGGAACAGGTTTGGCGAGCCCTGCTCTAATCTAATGTTCATTACAACCACCAGGGTTGGAGGCAATTCCATTTCAATTTAGGACTGGATTCAATCCGTAGCGCTCAGGAGCAGCGTTGTAGCCCGATTGACATTTAAAGGAAAGGTTCATAACAATTGACCAATACACCTGAGCTCGGTAACATTGATGGGCCAATCATGTTAGACCACACTGTTCACTGTTTAGAGTTAATTCACCTGGGGCTCCTCAAAAGACCAAAAAACTAAACTACTCACACACACACACACACACACACACACACACACACACACACACACACACACACACACACACACACACACACATACACACACAGTAAAAGGAAAGGTCACCTCATTGATTCAGTTCAGACTGTCTTCTGGTCTCTGACCTTTCAGAGCGCTCCACTGATGGAATGAAAGGTGGTTAAATACCCACAATGCAGTAGCACATCTCTGGAGAAATGTCAGTAATTAGAGCTTAGCACTTGAAGAGGTTACAGGCCATATCACACAGGAGAGAGGGAGGCATGGAGGCATAGAGAGAGAGAGAGAGAGAGAGAGAGAGAGCGAGAGAGAGAGAGAATGAAAGGATGGTGAGTTACTTTCTGGCTGTGTTCCGTCAGTAGGACAGGCATCTCTCTGTCTCTCTCCCTCTGCTGAAACGAGGCCTCCCTGTAGCCATGGCAACCAGTCTGATTGGACTGACTGAATATGCAAGATAAGGCCAACTTGAAAGAGTGACAAAATCCGTTACCTCCCCCCTCCCTCTCTATATCTCTCTCTTCTCTCTCTCTCCCTCCCTTTCCTTCTCTCTATTTTTCCTCTCTTTCTTTCTATCCCTCTTCCTCTCTCCTTTCACTTTCCCTTTCCCTCTACCTCTCTCCTCCCCTTCTTTCCTTCTCTCTCTTTCTCTCTTCTTCCTTCCTGCATGGAATTAGATTGGCATAAGCACACAGTGAGATATGAGGCCTGGCATGGTTCTGACACTCTCCATCTGTCTTTGAAACACAGAGACTCACAGAGAGGGAGAAGAAACTTCAGAAACACTGCCACAAAGAGAATAGAGCGCTCTGTTTATTTATACTGTGTGTTGGTTTATGTACATATGTACATGATGCAGTGCTTAAAGGCTAAATCTGATCTGCCACTTGAACAGAACAAATGCTCCAATTCTGATGAATGAAACTCTCCTCTCAGCTCACTTCTCTCAGCTCTGTCACTGATGTCTCCATGGAAATAAAATTGGGTCTGTGTTTCTTTTCAAGGCTGTCAGACTGCAGACTATTACCGTGTGTATGTGTCAGGCATGTGCACAGATAGGGCTCAACCAGTGCTCAAGCACCTGCCCTTTTGCCCTCCTATTAGCTCAATGGATTTTTGAAATATTTTCATTTATTTGGTCTCATTTAAAAATACTTATTTTAATTGTAAAGATTTACACATCATACTAGCTCATTTAATTTCTCTAAAATATTAGAAAATACCCCTTCTGCATGCAGTCACCTGACTTCTTGTGCTGTGCTGGCTACGGGCAGTGAGTTTAAATACTGGTAGTCTACTGTTGAGTTGGACCTGTCATGTGTGTCTTTCCCTGTTAACGTATACATAGGTTCTAGCAGAACTCACGGCTAGGCGAAGCAAATGTCTGTGCTCGCATACTCCCTAAAGACCTTGGCTCGAAAAACTAACTAAGCTAAAAAGTGGCAATATTACTGTTGTTTGTCGCTTTAGAGCCACCATAGCAACAACATAGCCATAACACTTCCTCAAAATAGTCAGAATTAATCTAAGATCAATCAAGAAATCTGTAATTAATTTTGACGTTTTTGCCAAGGAGGTCTTAGTCACGCAATTTTACATCTAGCTAAGATGTTTGGTGCAGTACTTCTCAAGTGAACAAATATGCATGAAAACTAGTAATGCACTGCAGACAGTAGGGCTTAGATGCTGCTGCGCTCTCTCATCTATCTCCTTGAATGACAGCAAACACTTCCCAGCTAGCACATAATGTTCTTAGAACCATCTGTTTAGAGACGGATTACTAGGACGTGTACTCTGAGCATGCGCTGACCAACTGGCAAGTTTCTTCACTGACATTTTCAACATGTCCCTGACTGAGTCTGTAATACCAACATGTTTCAACAGACCACCATAGTCCCTAAGATTACTTGCCTAAATGACTACCGACCCTTGGCACTCACGTCTGTAGCCATAAAGTGCTTTGAAAGGATGGTCATGGCTCACATCAACACCATTATTCCCAGAAACCCGAGACCCACTCCAATTTGCATACCGCCCCAACAGATCCATAGTTGATGCAATCTCTATTGCACTCCACACTGCCCTTTCCCACCTGGACAAGAGGAACACCTACGTGAAAATGCTATTAATTGACTACAGCTCAGCGTTCAACACCATAGTGCCAACAAAACTCATCACTAAGCTAAGGACCCTGGGACTAAACACCTCCCTCTGCAACTGGATCCTGGACTTCCTGACGGGCCGCCCCCAGGTGGTAAGGGTAGGTAACAACACATCTACCACGCTGATCCTCAACACGGGGGCCCCTCAGAGGTGCATGCTCAGTCCCCTCCTGTACTCCCTGTTCACCCATGACTGCATGGCCAGGCACGACTCCAACACCATCATTAAGTTTGCCGACAACACAGCAGTGGTAGGCCTGATCACCGACAATGAAGAGAAAGCCTATAGGGAGGAGGTCAGAGACCTGGCCGTGTGGTGCCAGGCTAGCAACCTCTCCCTCAATGTGATCAAGACAAAGGAGATGATTGTGGACTACCAGAAAAAAAGAGGACTGAGCATGCCCCCATTCTCATAGACGGGGCTGTAGTGGAACAGGTTGAGAGCTTCAAGTTCCTTGGTGTCCACATCACCAACAAACTATCATGGTCCAAACACACCAAGACAGTCGTGAAGAGGGCACGACAAAGCCTATTCCCCCTCAGGAGACTGAAAAGATTTGGCATGGGTCCTCAGATCCTCAAAAGGTTCTACAGCTGCACCATCGAGAGCTTCCTGACTGGTTGCATCACCGCCTGGTATGGCAACTGCTCGGCCTCCGACCGCAAGACACTACAGAGGGTAGTGCGTACGGCCCAGTACATCACTAGGGCCAAGCTTCCTGCCATCCAGGACGTCTATACCAGGCGGTGTCAGAGGAAGGCCCTAAAAATTATCAAAGACTCCAGCCACCCTAGTCATAGACTGTTCTCTCTGCTACCGCACGGCAAGCGGTATGGGAGCACCAAGTCTAGGTCCAAAAGGCTTCTTAACAGCTTCTACCCCCAAGCCATAAGACTCCAGATGTCACGACTTCCGCTGAGGCTGGCCCCCCTCCTGGTTCGGGCAGGCTTCGGCGTTCGTCGTCACCGGAGTACTAGCTACTGCCGATGCCATTCTCGTCAGAACACAGAACGTTCTCCAACTGGTTTGACATTGGGAATGTTCTGAAATAATTCAGAGAATGTTAAGAAACAATGTTCTGTGGGAATTTCAGTACTTCAGCATAACGTTTCCTACAGGTTTTCTCTTGGTTCTATTTAAAGTAATGTTCTCAAATTGTTCCGATAACGTTAAGAATAACGTTCTTCTGTGGGAATTTCAGTACTTCAGCATAACGTTTCTGACAGGTTTCCTCATGGTTCTATTTAAAGTCATGTTCTCAATGTTCAGAGAACATTAAGAAAACGTTGGTAATGCTCAGAGAACGTTCTAAGAATGTTATTTAAAAACATATGCATTCCATTCTCAGCATCAACAAAACTCTTTCTATCCTCTATCTTGTTAAGTGTGTTCAGGTGTGTTAGCTGCGCCCACTAATTGGCCACATCTGATCTTAATGAGTGCTTGTTTCCTTTTAAATGGGTTCTGTTTGAATAGACTAAAATGAACAACTTTGTATTAGTTAAAAAAAAACATGGCATGCTAGCGCCATCCTGGTGGTGCAGTGGACTAATTCCATGGATAGAGAACAGAAGATCATACGATCTCACTGACACCGTGCCACAATAAAAAATAAATGTGTTTGCATGAATAATGCCTAAGCAAGTTTATTTCCATGTGTCCTATCTGTGCTTGGAGTTGAAAACAGTTAACCCAAACTAAACAAGCAGTGTTATTAAAAGTCTTCTTGAAACATGTTCTCAGAACATTATTTAATTTCCTTCAAATAACTTATAATGTCCGTTCTCAGAACGTTAATAAACCTCCCAGGAAAACTTTCAGGGAACCATAGTAAAACGTTCTCAGAACATCCCTGCAACCTAAAAATCAACGTTCCCAGAATAGGCAACATTTTCACTTCCGTTCTCAGAATGTTTAAAAAACGTTCTGTTTTACCAGTCAGGAAACGTATGGCTTTGTTCCCAGAACCAATGGGAAACCAAAACTTACATTCCCACAACTTCCAAGGAATCAAATGTGCTAGCTAGGTAGTTAGTAGCCTACTAGAAGTCACTGGCACTAGCTTGCTTACAATAAGTGATGAGTGTGTTGCTGCAGAAAATAAATAGGCCAATGCAACAACCATTTGAGCACCTGCCCCCCCCCCAAAGGTCTGTGCACGGCCCTGGTGTGTGTGTGTGTGTGCGTGCGCGTGCGCACCTGTGTGTGTTTTGCAAAGTGTGTGTGTCAGAGTAAGACAGAATGTGTGTGTGCGCTATTTAAAGCTCCTTAGAGTCTGAGCAAACTAATTAGGCAGCAGACTGTCTCCCATGGCAACCCAACCCCTGACCAGGTCAGCTGCTCCGTCTGACTCTCCACGCAACCTGTCCGCTATAGCCCTGCTGTCATACTGTCCTGTTACACTCTTTTCCCCTGTCTCCCTCTATCAAGCTATTCCCATGCACCCTATTTCTCTCCCCATCTCTCTGTCCCACTCACCCCATAGTTATTTTACCCTGCTTCCATGTAGTGTGGCCCGGAACAGAAGTGGTCAGGAAAGGGTGAATTTGGGGAGAGAAGAGAGAGGACGGGAGAGATGGAGGGAGAGAGGAGAGGATCGAGGGAGAGAGGTTGGGGAAGGAGAGAGGAGAGGGAGGTGGGAGAGAAGAGAGAGGAGGGGAGGGATGGAGCGAGATAGGAGGTACGGAGGAAGGGAAGACGGAGGTCGGGAGAGAGGAGGGAGGGACAAATGGACAAAGGGAAGAATAGTTGATTTTCTGATAGTATGTAGTTAAATGTCCCTGCTCTACACCTTGATGACTACTATAGTTAGGACTGGAGTCTGTCAGAACATCAACATAATGAGACATACAGTGCATTCGGAAAGTATTCAGACCCCTTGACTTTTTCCACATTTTGTTACGTTACACTCTTATTCTAAAATGGATTAAATCGTTTTTTCCCCTCATCAATCTACACACAATACACCATTAATGACAAAGCAAAAACAGGTTTTTAGATTTTTTTGCAAATGTATAAAAAATAAAAAACTGAAATATCACATTTACATAAGTATTAAGACCCAAGCTACAAGCTTGGCACACATGTATTTGGGGAGTTTCTCCCATTCTTCTCTGCATATCCTATCAAGCTCTGTCAGGATGGATGGGGAGCGTCGCTGCACAGCTATTTTCAGGTCTTTCCAGAAATGTTAGATCAGGTTCAAGTCCGG